GCCCGGTCCCCGCCGCGCGTCACCCGGCTCCACGCGGGGGCGCGTCATCGCCCCCGCCCCTGGGGCCCCTCGCGGACGGCCGAGCCCCACTGTGGCCCCGCAGTTAACGAAGGCGCAGCTCCACTCGGACGCGGGGAACGGGTCTCAAATAAGGGCACAGCGCACAGGCGCGTCCTGCAACATTCGGGAGATTTATTGAGATCAATACAGAGGCGTCGCCGAGGGGCTGCGCGCCCCCCGCAAGCCCAGCTGCGCCCACGTCCCCAAGTCCTTGCAGTTTCCAACTGCTCTGTGTCAGTTGCTTTAACCTGGAAAACGAAACGAGGTGGCTCCTGGCCGCCGTTGGGAAACTGTGACCTCTTCTCCATATCCGCTTAAAACACAATCTGCATAAGTCGGGGCCAACTACCTGGAGGAATTACGCGTGAATAACGCTCTAAATCATCATCGCGTGCATCGCCTAGGGAGTTGTAAAGTGCAGTCTTTAGTCACGCTTAAAAATCATATTTCTAGCATGAATGAACAAACCAACACTGCAGAAATATGACTCCTCTCAGCAGATCCGGGCCCGACCTGAGATGAAAAAACCCAACGTTTGGCCACTCCGGAAGTCAGAGATAGACCTTCGTGGAACTCTGCAGAGCTGCATCAAAATCCGTCAGTTTTGAAAATGCTATCAAATTCCTGGAGTAAGAAAGGCGCTGATAAAAACACTTAACAAGGGAGTAAATGTCCACTTGGCCAGAGGCTGAGATGGTTCCACTGTTAAGATACCTTTCAAGGGAGCTCCATCTGTGAGAAGCCCATCTTGTGCTTTTCCCTTAATTCACGGGAGAGGAGGCCAACTGTTCAAGTAAACAGGAAGCTTATGTGTCAAATCACAAACACTCAACAAGACCCCACAAACAATGAATACACAAAGAGCTAACGGGTGGGGGAAGCAACAGGAGAGGACGGCAAGGGACAAGAACAATCTTAAAAAATCTCAGTTGTCACCAAAAAAAGCATAAAATGTGAGCTTTAAACATACATTTTGCAGAGAAATTACAGTCATAAAAAAATCTTTGCATTGGAAAGGCATTCATATTAAATTATAGAAAATTTTTAACGTATAAGCTGAAATTTTAAAGGTTAGATTATTTACCAAGGAGTCTCTACAATCTCTATGAGCACGTTTATTTAGCATGCAAATTCTACACATCACAACACCAACTGAAACTAATTTTTCTTCCTTAAAGGAAAATTAAGCTCTGCACAGAACACAAGATTTCAGTTGAATAATTCTATTTGCTGCTAGATCAACAGATTGTAACAATATGACAATCGCAATCTCTAGGCAATAAAAAAAATTAAAAATTGTTTGTTACTGAAGCAAAACAGTATCTCCATCTATGTACTTTAGGCAAGTATTGAACACAAGAGGGACCGATTTTTTTTTCCTTAATAAGTAGCCTCCAACTTATGCACTCACTCTTTGCCGAAGTTTGCCAAAAGGCTGCCCTGGGTTACAATGTGAAATTCTCACACATGTGCCTTATTTTCTTTGGCACCGTATAGATTCCTTCCTTTCTTTTTAAAGAATCAGCTCAATGGAAGTTGAGGGAGGGGGAGAACATCCTGTATACCAGGAAATTCAATATATAGCTCCAGAAATTTTATTTTAAAAAAAGATAGAAAAGACAGATGAGAAAAAGATCCAAGGGAAGAATGGAAACAGCTGACGCCCTTTGCAGCTGGCTCTTGGACCACCCCACCACCACCACCACCAAATGGGCTGCTCCTTCCTTCCCTTATGCTTGCCTTTGAGAAGATAAAAACAGAAACAAGAAAAATAACATGAGCATACATGTATGCAGAATTCATCAAATGTTTCTAGAACCCTGAATTATTAATTAATGAAAAACCTGTTTAAATCCTAGAGTTTCTTTCTCTTACTCTAAATTTTAAAAGCATGAAATTTAAGTTCTGTGCACTTAAGTCAATTTGAAGAGTATCATAATTTAACCCCCCAAATCACTGGTATTTTCAGGCAAGAATATGGTCTGATCAAAACTATGGTTTGCTCTTTTTTGTTAAGATTCTAAAGCATTAGATATAAAGCCAATATCCAAGCATTTGGAGGATCAGTTTCCCTCCCGAGTTCGTAAACGTACAGTAACATTTCCACATAAGAATGCAGAATCTGCCTGCCTCACGCCTCTATCCAAGGCCAGTACACATCTTTATGAACACAGTTCCTGCAACAGGGGAGGGATGAGTGTGTGAGGAAAGTTCCAAGTACAGTTTGTAACAAAAGTACAATATTAGAAAGGTTGCTATAAATCACTCTTTAGTAGATTTCTTTATCACATTTTTGAAAAGTAAACAAATTGGGCTATATTTGTAGCAACTCAAAAGTGGGGCATAAATTTAAATGATGTATTTGTTCTGTTCACTGATAGGAGGCTAATATTACATTAATATATTTCCTTCCTGTCAAGAGTTATTTATATATGTACAGTATTTCCGTTAAAAATAAAATATAATACCATAAACTATATTTTATTGGACAGCATAAGGGAAGCCAAATATGCAAGTCTATTAAAGACTTAAAAGTTTCTATAAACTACTTTATTTGGGGGAGAGGGGGCTTTAAATAATACAGCCTGTAAGAGAGCAACTACAGCCAGCTCGCACGCAGTCTTTTGCCATGGAGGCCCCCACAACCAGTCAGCCACCTGGTTCTTCCCCCTGTTCACAGACTTCCAGATCAGGCAGGTAGGGGAGCGGAACCCACACCCATCCCAGGTGCAGTGCTGTGACTGCAGGTGGAAAGGGGGCATTGGAGTGCACGGTATCAAAGTTTCAGAACTCTTTCCTCCCCCAGCAGGCATCATTCGGCCCATCCCCTTCCATGTGTGGTAAGCAGTATGTGCCAGGCGTGAAATGCCCAGATCATAACTGATCGCAGAGAGGTTAGTTCGGTTTTTCTAGCACAGTAGTGTCCATAAGATTCCGCCGCTGTGGTTCTAGGGTGGCAAAAAAGGAAACATCTGGGTCCTGGTCTGACTGCAAAGCTAAGACGGTCTCTTCAACGACTTCAAGATGAGGGTTACCAGCATTTCTAAAATATGCTAAAGAGAGAAAACACGAGTTTGAATCACAGGTGCCATGAACTGTGTTCTAAAACACACTCTGACTTCTGGTTTTTTTTAAACCACATCTCAGGACACTAAATCATTATTCATAGAATAATCACATATGTAAGTCCTTTAAAATGATAAAATTGCTTTAATCAAAGAGTTTTTCCTAAGCTTTAAAGGTGGACTCCCAAGAATAGATATGCATATTTTAAAAATTATAACTAAAAAACTTGTAATATTATCTTTTCTTCCCTCCGATACAAAAGAATGGACAATGTGTGGAACACAGGAGGGGAGCGGGCTGCTGGCAGGGTGGGGAGGGAGAGGGAAGTGGCCAGACAGGTGTATGCAGGGCAGGGTTTAAGGTGTTCTATATATGTGGTGTAGACATGAACCACCCAAGGGATATGATCTCAGATTAAGTCCTGTTCAGGTGTCAAATAACTGGCTATAAATTTTTCTTACTGACTACAAAATAATAGCAGTAAAACCTAATTGTAGTTAAGGCTTAAATTTGCTAACTTTCGTAATCTCTATGTCATAACTCAAAATTTACAAAAGTTTCCCTCATTTCTAGAAGACTATGTAATAGTTTGCATTTTAGAATAGGTTTATTAAATGTAAAAACTGAACTACATTCATTTCCCTGGTCATTTTATAAATAACATAAAGTATTATGCATGGACGTTAATATATCATTTATATAATAAATCTGAAGTATGCTATCACACAATTTGCCACAATTTCCTAAAGAGAAAATCGAGTTGCTGCCTGATGAAGTTTAAAATGTCTAAGTTGAGGAAGACGGTCTGCATACCCTTTTCCAATAGCGTCTGCCTCAGAGCTTTGGCCAGCAGAACCCTCACGTTTGGCACAGGATCCGATGCAAGGCTTAAAAGGCTAGGGAGTAAGTGTTCAACAAACTGGTCCACGGGGATACACTCCTCGCTCACCACTCCCTGTGATGAAAAAAGCCACAGCCAAAGAAGTGATGTCTTTCAATAGTGAGTGATCAGTATGGTTCTTCTAAAAACATACACTTCAGTAGTTCCAAAGAAGTCATTTCAGGATCTGCTGGTCTGAGGAGCACGTGTGTCTGAACTTCAAAATCTCAACCACTGAATTTGGTTAGAAACACAGGTAACGTTTTATAATTCCTCACGAAGCACTGGTTACAAAGAGTATATTTGGTGGAGAAAGCAAGGGCTTTTGAGTCAGACAGAAATAGACTCAAACCCTAACTTGGTCACTAACTAGCTTCGTGGCCTTGGGTAAGTGGCTTCACCCTTCCGAGCCTCTGTTCCCTCGTCCGTACAGTGGAGAGCTGGTGGGGGTGGCAGATCACTTTTGCAAAGAGTCTAACGTAGCCCCTGCCAGGAACGGTTAAGAACCCTCAGGCTGTTCCTCACGAGAACTCAGGCTCTGGGGACAGGGACCACGCCTGTCAAATGACAGCCAACTCTCAGACCCCAGCCTAGTGCCCGGCCGTCTGCAAACAACTAATAAACCCGGCTCCTGTAACCACCACCAGCAGCTGCACACTGCTCCTCTGCTCAGTCTGACACCTCCTCTCTCATCTAATTCTCACAGCCAGCCAATCAGAAACAATGACTCTGCTTCAATGTGGTGATGATACCCAAAGGTCTCATGACCAACGAGCAGCAGCAGGGGGGCGATTCCAAGCCAGGGGTGAGAATTCTAAATCCTGCAGACCTTCCCATACAAGGTACCAGGGCAGCTGACAGGTCCTAAGTACGGCCCAGGTGGGCCCTGCGCTGGTCACTCAGACAGGTCAGCTCATTAAAGCCTCCTGACCATGGGGGAGGCAGGTGGGCCGCTGCTGTCCCATTTCACAGAAGATGAAACGGGGCAGGAGGCGCTTTGCCCAAGGCCGCTCCACAGGGAAGCAGCAGACTCTGCTTCAAAGCAGTGGTTTTGACTCAAGCCGGCCCTCCTACCTTCCAGCTCTCATCTCTCCCTGGAGCTGTATTGAAATGATAATCAATATGACCTTAGGAGGTACTCTTGGCTGAGTACCTTTCCTTTTGTTTGTGTTACTGTGAGTTTTCTAAATCTTTAATAATTAATTAGTGAAAGCATAAAAGAAAACACTGCTTTTTCTTGTGCAAAATTAGTTGGTGTCTTTGCCTTTTGTTTCATCATGGATTTTCTAAATCTGAGATAAAGAATTAAAAAATAAAAGCAAAAATATCTCATTTACCCTTTCTCCACAAAATGATTCGGAGCATTGACTTCTTTACAAAAAGGTGCCAGGCCTGCGGTTTGTGAATTTGGCACTTACTCCGCCACCCCTGCACTTCTCCAAGTGGATGGCCAGAGTACCCCGGTGGTGCCCCTCCTGCCCAACAGGGGACCCTGGTGAGTCCTTGGGGGGGGGGGGTTATGAGGGAGAGCAAGGGGTTTGGGGCCTGGGGTCAGGTGGAGTCCAGCCTTGACTGTACTACTGACAAAGCTGAGGGATGGGTTCATGGAGATTCATTATACTAGTCCCTCTACCTTTGCACATGCTTGAAAATGTGCAGGAGCAAAAGTTAAAACTTTTGAAATAACACTTTAGCAGAAAAAATTATAGCTTTACACTTCCTGTGTGATCTTGAGCAAATTACTTAACCTCTCTGGGCTTCAATTGCTTCATCCAAAAACACTGGTCTAAAAGTATCCGCGTGCACCATGCTCAATGCACGTAGATCTATTACTGAGGATGAGATGTATGACGAGATGCTGGCACACAGAGGCATTCGAGAAACAGCAGCCATCACCCCTGGCCAAACATGAACTGCACCCTCATTTCCACGATTCTAGGTAGAGGGTCACCTGAGGAGCTGGACAGGCTGACACAAACTCCACCTTAAAGAGCTGAAGGGTCTCTGCCCTACCCCACTGCTCTGCTCTTCAGCCCACCTTCCCTGCAAGGCAGCAGCTACGGTGAGGGGCAGTGGGGAACGCCGCCCTGGACTGGACGTGGCAGGAGCAGGGCTCTGGGACGGGCCCTCACCTCCCCAGACGGAAGGTGCCGGCAGAGCAGGGGCGAGTTCATCTCTCTGTCCCCAGCATCTGGAGTCTACCTGGCACACAGTAGGTGCTCAATCAGTATCTCGAGGACGCACGCACACGCGGGTTGGGTAACTCTGGGCAAGTCACTTGGCCTGAGCTGTCACAATCTCCCGTGAGACAAGGGGGTTCGCTCCACTGCTCCCCAAGTTCTGGGCTAGCATTCCAGGGTGGGGATTCTTTGTCTGGTGCTCCCGATCAACACGGCCGAACGTGTGCCCAGGGCAGATTCCCCCCAGTCCGTGCTAACCTGACAAATGAAAGCAAAAGCTTGCCTTCCGACCCACTTAGAACAGTGCCGGAACCTTATGACGAGTTCATGGATGAAATTTAACCCCAACGCACTTGCACTGTTTGAATAGAACTTCTGCAGAATTGCCACGACCTGTGGAAACATCAGAAGAGCACATTTAAAATGCTGCCATCTATTTGAATTATGAATACTACTCTACACGGAAACTAGACATTTTTATGCACCCTTCACCTTTAAAATGAATTTATAAGCACAAGAGAAATAATTTTTGTCATGGTAATCATTAGAACACAGAGAAAAAAGATGTTTAAGGATATGGCAATACACACACACATAAAACGCTTCATGAATATGAAATTTAAAAAGGGACTGGCATCAGAAAAATACATGATTAATCTTAAGATTCCAAATTTTAGAAAAGTCCCCTTGCATAATAACTAAATCATTCCCTTTCAGAACATGTCGTTTCTATAGAATTTTAACACCATCAGAGTACCTCCATAAATCAATACTTTCCAATGAGATTTTTTCCCTCAGCATTCAGCTGGTATGAGCTGAAACAGGGCCGGCTTTTCTCTGCTGGAGTTTGTGCTCACTAACCACTCCTCTACAAACCCATGCTGCAGAGTAAAGGCCAGTCCATGACGAAAAGAAACCCTGCGCCGCCGTCTACCCGGTTTCACATACAAAATGATTTATCCACAATGTCCATCACTGAAGCATACAGCTTAACAAAAAACCTATCTTACATATTGATAAAACTATAATACGGTTCCTCATTTCAAAATTTAAAAGCTGGTTTCATAGGTAATCTAACAAATTAAGCACAGAAAAACTAAAGGAGTTAAAATGGAAGAAACATAAATATTCCTGTTTCCAAAAACCACAAACAGAAAAAGCCATGATTCCTTACTAGTTTGAAGGAGATCCACCGCACTTCAGAAACTTTATCTGCACACAACTTTAAGGCAATATGCATTAAATAATCATAAACATCATTGGGATTATAGAGTTCCAAAATCAGTATCAGCTGTCTGAAATTTAAAAAGAAGAAATTGTTTTTGGGGGCAAAAAGCGTCTTAGTTTCTGTTTACTTTCATTTCATCTTACAGAGAAAAATAGCCAGGCTGGGGTATGAGCGCAATGAAGCGAGCCTTTCGTCAGTGAAACGCCAAAAGCTGGGTGAACCGGCCACGCAAAGAAAAGTGAAAAAAGAAACCTTAACTCTTCATCTTATACACACAAACAAATCAAACAAAAAGCAAGTAAATTAAACTTTGTAAAACAGAGGCTGAGATATTTATGAATAAGGATTTAATATTTCAATTTTAGGTTATCAGTTCGAAAGCACATAAAACTTTAAAAATCAGATAACATAAAAATAGCCAGAACATCGAAAGTCCCAAAGATCAACAGATCACGGGAACGCTCAAATGAGGTTTCACTGCCTCGGCAGTGTTCCTGAAGCTGCAGATCACATTTCCTGCTCCTGCGGGCCGGCTCCGGGCACCGTGCTCGAGCCTTCACAACCCAGCAGGCTCCGCTTGGCGTGAGCCGGAGCATCAGCTCTCCACTCCAAGGGGAAAACGGATAAGACGGCTGCTGGGAAAACGTACACCAAAGCTCTCACTATTTTCTAAATGGGGACGGGGAGAAGGGGATGAGAATAAACGGCATGATTTCCACCCTGGCAACGAAAGGAAATGAAAGAGAGATTAGAAGGAAGTTAGAACCAGAAGCCAGGAGTGCCGGTGAATACTCTCATATCAGAATGCACTGTTTTCAGGAAAATGATACCAATGTCATGGGCACAGGAGCACAGAATTCATATCAGTGGCTTTAGCTTCAATAACCATGGCAGAGATGGAAGATAGCCGGCGCCCGGAGATAATGCTGTCGGGCGATGCCGCCGGCCTGGCCCCGGCTCTGTCCCCATACCGTCCCCGGCCCCGTCCTCGGCCCCGGCCCCGGGAAGCGGGTCTGTCCGTCCCCGGCCCCCGGTCCCCGGCCCTGGCCTCGGCCCCGGGAAGCGGGTCAGCCCGGCCCCAGCCCCGGCCCCGGCCCGATCCCCCTCCCCCTCCCGGTCCGCAGTCTCCGGCCCCCTCCCCGGCCCCCTCCCGGCCCCGGGAAGCGGCTCCACCTCGCCCAGTTCCCGCACACTGCCGCTAGAGGGCGCGATGCTTTCATGGAAAACGCGGGCCTGTTTTTCTGTTCTCAGAATCTGCGCCGGGAACATGGCATAATGACTCAAGCCTCAATCTCTCAAATTAAGCATAATGATTAAAGATCACAGGAAAGAGAAAATCTTTTAGTTTGTCCCTGGCATCGGCCAAATCATATCCTGAATACTGCAAAAGCTTGATAGATTTCTACAGGGAAGACAATCATTTGAGAGATTTCTAGTTGAGGGAAAGAAAAAGGAAAACTAAAGATACCGAAATAAATCTTGACAAGGTGAAAACTAAAACCCAAACCACCACCACAAACAGATCCACTCGGTACTAAGGAGAGCACATGCCACAGCTCGGGAAGGAGTGTTTAAGGTGACGCTTTAGCTCTTCAGAATCACTAAAACCTCTCACATTCCTTCTGCCAGCACAAGATGGAATCCAACCCCTTCACGCACAAAATGATGTACAGACAGGAGCCACCTTGAGGGACGTTCTTATTTAATCATCGTCTCCTCTGGGTTAGACCTCTTCACACCTCTCGCTGTAGCATAATTTTCTTCAGAAGCTGAAGTGTGTAACCCACGCAGTGCCCTACACAGAGGGCTACACTCAGAACGTTCAAGAAAGCTCTGGCAAAAACTGCTCCGATTAACAGGAAAATATTGAAGAGCAGGTGATTCATCTTTTATCTGGTTCAGATAAATTGCCTTATAGAACACCAGAACACTTCTAATTCCAAAGTGACTCGAGTCCTGTCTTCATCTGAAAATGGATGTCTCCCCGGAGACTGTGGTATTTGTAACTTCGAGCCTTGGAATTCAGTTTATCCCTTAATGAAAACATAATCTCTTTATCCAAAAGAACACTATTATTACTGCTGGTTTAGAAATCAATTATAAGGTAGGAAAATAAGAATTATTCCATCTAATGTGCCTTCTCATAGCCCCAAACAGGTTTTACTTACTCTGCTAGTTCATACCGAAACCTCCAATTCCTGCTGTTATCGGTCACTATAAATTCTTGAAGCTGATAAAGATATTCTCTCCTCTTGTCTTCATGAAGCAACTATTTTTAAAAAATGTATATATAAATAAAAATATATAAACCCTCTAAATGACCCCAAATATACAGTGTTATTATACTTCAGATTATACATTTGTCACGAGCAGGAACCGTGCATTTCCCTAACGCCCCCGACTCTGTCACCCAATGTGGCTGTGAATCAACGCTGCTTTAACAGATGTCAAATGCATCCCTGAACACTTCCAACCTTTGCCCCCGATTAGTCCCTGTGCTGGTGCATTTCTGAATGCCCCCTAGCTCTTCCTTCTTCATCATTTCCTCCCTAAAAAAAACCCCAGTGTGTGTTCAGAAGATCCTGCACTGCTGCTTCCAGGGAGCTGGCACCGCCCATGTGCTTCTGCACCATGAGATGAGAGTCTCAACTGCTCCTCATGCACCAAAGTCCATCAGGGCAGCTCCTGGTCGTGTGGATGTGAGTAATAGTTTCTCTAGGTCATTTTTAAACTCTTATTTTTTTCACTCATCATTCCTTTAGGGAAAAAAGGAAAAAAAAACGGCAAGAAGGGAAGCAGCAACGTCTTGCAGAAAAAGCCCTTCGTGCAGAACTGAGATGGGATCTCAGCCGGGCTCTTCCCATGTGTGACCCTGGGCACATCACGCACGACCCGGGGGCATGGGTCCCTTCATTCTCACAGAGCGGGCTAGGCTGTGTGTCCACCATCCTCCACAGAATCAGAACTCTAAGGGATAGGAAGATGAGGAGGAAAGATATAAACATATTTACCCAACACTGAAAGAATACCCACTTTAAGATTTTGGACAGTATGTTTCAACTGAAGAACCCTAGAAACCTGTATTTTTTTTCCACTAATACTTTACATATTCAGGGTTTTAAAAAATTGTTTTGAAGAGGGGAGGTTTGTTTTTTGTTTTTAATCCTTCTTCCTACCTTTAGAAAATCATACAGGTGTTTAAGAACTCCTATCCGTACTTCATCCAGGTCCTTTAAAAATCCATTGAAGATAGGCACCAGGTCAGCTGCTGTCAACTGATCCCCAAGAATCACAGCCAGCTCATGAATAGAGAAGGCCAGGGTCCGGCGTACCTTCCACTGGTGCACAGCACACACAAACATCACAGAACGCAGGCACAACTCAATGTTACCAAGAGCCTAAGTGGCATTTCTAGAGCAAAACTGACTCTGCTAGGTGTTGGCCACGTAAAGCTTTATTTCTTCAGAGAACTAACTATGCCAATTGCAGCCACGTGAAATACAGGTCAACGAGCCTTGCTGCAGCCTCCCCTTTCTTCCTAATTAGATGACCCACCCTATGTCCATGCATGCCTCTGAAAAGGCTACTTTACCTGCACGTCGGAAGCCAGCGTTGCATACGTATCTTTCAGGCAGTGCCAGTTCTGCCTGCCCAGGGTGAGCGCCACCCCCGGGAGGCTGTAGGCACAGTGCTTGGCTATGTCAGTATCGACAGTCTGGGCTCGAGCTGGGTCGGTCATCGACACATACTGCTCCAGCAGGGGCTGAGGTATTATATCCTGGGAAACAGGAGAGAAAGGAAATCTTCATGCCTGCAGGAAAGCAGAACACTCAGGAAAAACAAGGAGCTTGGAATTTGGAGGTGAAAACAGCCAAGCAGAAATCTGAGAGGAACAAGAGTCTTCCTAAAGCTAAGGGCTCTGGACTGGCGAACTTCTTGTTCTGTAGGGAGTGAGTTTTCAACTTGGACTGAAGTTAAAGCAATGCCCACACTCATCTTTTCTAAATTCCTCCAACATCACAGGGAACAGTCTAGACATCAGTGTTTGGTTAGTCTGGAGCACACGGCTTGAGAGTAGAAACTATCTTCTCTTTTCTTATAACTGTCCCCAGCACCTCGGGCCCAAGCCCTGTACTCCTGTCATCACTCCTTTTCCCAGCTGATGGGTTAAGACCCCATCCCCTCACCCTTGTCCCTGTAAGGGCAAGGGACACAACAATGAAAGACATTTAAGAGAACTGACACAGCACAAGAAGCCAATCCACAAGACAGAACAAAGCAAAGCATGGTTCAAAAAGAAGCTCTCAAAAACTTTTCGGCCAAAAAAACCCTAAATAACTTATACAAATAGACACTAAATATTCATGTATAGATGTCAAATTTTTTCTATTTGATTTTCTTTATTAAAATACTATTCTAGATTGTTCAGAAGACTTCAAACACTACTTTAAAATTTACTTTTTTTAAGGTAGAAAGGAAAAATTAGCAACATAGATTATGAATTAAGATATGTCACTCATATTAATGGAAGAAGAATATCTAGTTCCAATGGCCATTCTTAAATTTAACTTCCAGAAAATGTGAAGTTTTGAGTTGCTTTTCTTTTCAAGGAACAAACCTGTAATTTAGATTTATTCTCCTCAAGTGGGGTGGGGTCATGCCTCTGTTCAGTCTCCAAATGGTCACTGGTTCCACTGCAGGGTTCGCTGGGGTCCTGCAGAGTTGATTGGGCACATTACCAATTTACCCCAAAGGAGGAAGCTGTCCTACCGCTCCCCCTTCGAAGAAGCCTCCTTCAATGCTAGAAATGACTTCTGCAAACCAAGGCCAGAGCTTCCCCTGAAATCAAAGGTATCTCTCTAGATGTTAAAAAAATTGTTAAAAAATACATTTGCACCATTATATATGATATTGTATAGGTCAGTCATTTTAAGTACCAAGGCAAATAGATTTCACACATTTTAAGACTGCTTGAGGCCCCTACAAAAGACAGGCTAATGTTGGTGAGTATCAACAACTTGAGTCTGCATTTACCATTCTTGAAGCTCCAGGGTCCCCAGTGTGGTTAACCAATGCCCTTAAGTAATATCCATATGTTTAAGGCATAGAACACTCCAGAAGGCAGGAGGAGGTTTGTGAGAAATGGTGAAGTGAGCACTTCGAGCCTTTCTCAGGAAGTGGAGATTATAGCAACCCTGGACCTCAGAGAGAGGTGGAGAGGCAAGGGGAAGGCCCATTTCATTTGAGTGAAAAGATGTGGCTGATAAAGGAGTATTTACTCGGAAAACTGTGCTCGATTTTCACATGTACAAACACTTCTAATGTTTTCTGATGAACCTTTACATTAGGTTAACAATGAAATGAGCAAGAACATTCAACGGTGACATATTGGTCTCTGATCATTGATTAACATTAACTGAGATGGACCTGACCTTCTCCTTCAACCATAACATGGATTTCCTACTTGCACTTGAAATGTCATACTGTCTACCAGCTTAATGGATTCTGACAAATCAGCTCAATATATGATCCGGGAAAGTCGATTAATACACCAATAGATGCTTCGTTTGCTCTAAGGCGTGCTACCAGAACCTTCAGATCCCAAGGTTTTCACTGAAATGTGCTGCTTATTTTAATAGAGGACATGATAAAACAGAAATATTTTGGTATGATAACCTAAGACCTCAATTTCTCCAAGTTAATAACTTCACGTATATTAATAAATAATACATCATTATTCTTCCTTCAGGAATTAATTTTATTCCCAAGTCTTCAGTGCAACTGTTACGTACAGCACTTACTCCAGCAGCCAAGTTAAAGTTTAAGTAAACCCCCACAAGTCACGGCAACCCCAAAAGGTATCGTGAGGTCATGGCCCCAGCAAACCACCTGGCAGTCGAGAGAGACAAGCGGGAAGAAGAGGCCCCTCCGTCCGCTGGGCGTCCCAGGACTAAGCTGGTGCGCTACGACGGCAGAGCAGAGGCATGGGACAGGGTCAGCGTCAAGGCGCTGGGTGACCCCAGCCTCAGCGCCTCCTCCCATTCTTGTGTGAGAGAGCAGTCTTCACTGTTTAAGCTTTTTGCGTTTTTTTTTCCTTCTCCTGCCTTTGCAACTGGAAGCATCCTGATTAATCCCGCTGGAACCTAAGAGCCCAGCTGCAAATTCAAGAGCCCTGATATCCCAACCATAACCCAAAGTCCCGACCACACAAGCCCTTCAAAATCCTTCACTCAAAAGAGCCAACTTGGAGGAATCTGTTCTTTTTTTTTTTTTTTTTGACTTCTGTTTATGACAAAGAAGCTTGAATAGTATCACATCTCCCACCAAGGCAAATGTGGCCACACCTTTCTCCCTAACACAAGTGATTGTCACACTCCAGGTAACAAGGGTAATAACACGAGTTTTCTTGCCTCTTTTTCTAAACAAAGCAGCAAAACAGAATATCATCTCATTCCACACTAATCAAAGGCAGCCTTTACAAACTCTTGAACATTTTATATTCAGGCTTTTTAAATCTGTCTCTTGTTTTGCTGTTTTGCTTTATTGGAGCAGGCCTGGGGGTAAGGGAGGCTATAAATTAGCTTAATCGCTAAAATCAAATTATAAACTATGTGAATGAAGAAACAATTGGTATTCTGGCCCTGGAAACCACAAGTTTGAAGAGATTATCCATCATGGCTCATGAAAATGAGAAGGTGCGAACATGCCCATGACCTGATGATCACGGACCTCTCCCTGACTTCGATTCTCTAGTCTTACCCCTACCTGGGAAGGGCACCACCTAAAGTGGTCCAAGGGCGAGTTTAGTAGGAATTAGCAAGACATCAGAGCCTCCAACCACACACAGTAAGCTAGAAGGCTTCTGGAGAGACTCAAAGTAAGAAACAAGTCACAGGCTCCCTCCTCACCCCCGAGGCAGAGGCCCAGTGTCACGGGGCTGGTTCCAGATTGCAGGAGAAGCAGTGAACTGCTGGCTTTTCCAATCTCTCCAGCGAGGAACAGCATGACAACACCACTCCCGGATCGACCACGTGTTAAAAGAGCGCCTATCAATCGAGGGCTGACGCGATGAGCACTCCCTAAGGCCTCTGTCAACCTTAAATTCTGGGAGTCACATGAATTCACCTTCTGCCATTATTAAAAGATGTAAACGATGGCTAGCAGTGAAATAGGGCATTTAATCATATGGTTAAAGAACCAGCTCTCATTGTCTTTGGAGAAGAGGGTAGGTCCTTTTTGGTCTCCCCACCCTTGTTTCTGTGGAGGAGAATCAGGGTTATCAATCACCTGATTGATTGGTTGTCTAGTTATCCAAAACACGACCTTAAGAATAAAATTAAATTTGCCATTTATCATCTCTGCCAGGATATATTAATAAAAGAAAATGCAGCTTTGTGATTTCTGTCACATCCTCGGTGGCAGAGGGAGAGGGCAAATACTTACTGGGCTTTGTAATATCCTGGCCACGGAGAGCTCATTCTGTGATGATGAAGCCAACAGAGCCATCTGATTGTCAGAGGCAGGGCTGGGATCTGAAAGGGACACTTCATTTAGACCTTCTGTTGGCCTGTGCTCGGGCTCATTCACAGAGTCAAGCTGTGCGGCTCTCAGTGCAGCTGATAATACCTGAACTTGAGCTGCAGGAAGAGAAGTTTCAAGAATTTTAATCACTTTATTTGGTGTGCAGGGATTCACCACAGAGGAGTCTGCGCAACAAGACAGTCCGGATGGGGGCACGCTACATAGTGTCACCTTTCACACACCTGTCCCTACAGTAACCGTGCTCCAGAGTCCCAGAACAAGCTCTCAGTGAGGTGGGGATATTTACGGTCATTAACTTTAACTATTCCAACTAAACGCCAACCATGACAGAGCATCAAATCTGAACTCAAAAAGCCTCAATCAGGAAAATCAGAGTTTGACTCCATCATCTTTCACAGAAAGACAACACAGTGTTACAGAACGCCCACGTCTGGGAGGTCCACCGGCTTGTGAGGGAGGTCCTGCTCCCCCATTTATAAAACAGGATGGCTGCCTTCTCTGCCACACACACACATGCACACATACACACACACGCACACGCAGAAATCAACCCATTTACGTACACACAGATGAGTCAAGACCTCGCTCACCAAGCCCCAGGGGCTACTCATTCGTTCTGCCCGCAGCATGACTGTTAGAGACCCTCCTAAAAGCAAAGATGACATATTTCACATACCTTTCTGTAAAAACAAACTGATGTTTCCATGTCCCCAACCTCCAAACACACACACACACACTTCCTCCATCCTGTTTCTACTAGTTAAATTCAACAGACTCCAAGATTCATTAACATGTTTAGAGCTTGTAGCTGGCTCCCCACTGTGCCCACAGCAAGGTCTCACCTCCTCAGTGCAGCGCACCAGGCCCATCCCAACGGCCTGAGCAACATTTCCAGCCAGTCAGCTTACAAATACCCAATGTGTCGTTTATTTCTGATCTTTTGGGAGCACGGATCCCTCTGAGGTCTGATGAAAGCTGGGGGTCCTTTCTTACAAAGAAATTAATTATGCATAGACATGCAAGATTTTTCATACAATGATTTCAGGGAACTGAAAGAACCCTCTGAAACTCATCCCCTGACTTCTCCAGATGGTGGATTCCTCACCATCCTTTAAAGCCCACATCAAGTATCACCTGCCCTGCAAGGTCGTCTCCCAGATGTTTCCTCTGTGACCAGGAGTGACTGGCTTCCTGCCCCGTGCTTCCACATCACAGCATGCCCACTCCTGTCCCAGCCCTCGCCACACCCTTCGCTGGGTGGTTGTTAACACACCCCCTCAATCAGACAAGGGCCTCAGGTGTTGGTCATTGCCGACACAGCACCCAGCCCAGGTCCCAGCATTGAGTTAATGCAGCTTTAGAAATGTGTTTTCCAAAAACAGACCTGTGTCTATAGCTATTAGAAGCGATACGTTACATGTGCTCATTCCTTCAGCAAACACTGACTTAATTTCCTTTATAAATTTAAAGACAAAGAATAATCACAGGGCTAACTAGATTTTCACATTTCCTTTCCCGAAAGCTTCACAAATCTTTGCCTGGCAACAGCAGCAAGTGTTGTTTTTTCCAATTTCCCCAACTCAGGGAAGAATACAAATATAGCACTGTTTAGAGAAAGAAGAGGCGTGATAATGGATATGGATTGCCAGGCCAGGCTCCCAGATCAGACGCTCAGTGGGAACACCAGTCATAAAATGAAAAATACCCCAAAGAAGAAGTTATACTTTTCCTTGCTGTACAAAGACAAAAACCTTAAAGTTTAGCTAAGGGTTGAGCTAACAGGCTCCAAAAGGAGCACCATCCTTAGCTGTTCATAACTAGAAAGGGCATATAACATGGGAAATGATGCACAGTGTCCAAGGAGCTTATAAAATTTCCACTACTATAGATGTGCCCAAGAACTATCCACTTGTGTCCTGGAACTGACTTCAGACTTGCACGGTGGCAAAGCAAGGAGACAAACCCTTGCAGGAACCTGCACAGAGCGATCCCTGATGTTCTGGCTGTGGGGATACTGAACGAGTCTCCCCTCTCAGCGTGTACACAGTGTAAATAAAGATAAGCACACGCACATACGCAACAATACACAGGCCTACAAGACACACAACCCCGAAATAGACCATTTTCTCTTTAATTACAGTGGACAGCACTTACCTTGAACATCCGGATCATTCATCATATGCTCCTGCAAACTATCAAGGACTTTCTGAATCTCGCTCCCGGCCACACAGCTGTTACGCACGGTCGCAGGTCTGCTGCAGCCTTTTTCTTGCAGCCCAGCCTCGCTCAGAAGCAGCTCTAAGTCCTTGCTTATGTCAGGAAGAGGAATTCGCCAATAAAGGAAATTATTGAATACATCCTCAGGACTCCCTGGGCAGGCCCAGGAATCTGGTCCAGGGTGGCTGTTGATAGGGAGGTCGTTAATATCATGGAGCTCTGAAAAGGCACTGGCCTCTGGGGAAAGCCTGGTCAACTCAGCGCCAGCCAAGACAGAGTCTTCCATTGGGTTTTCCATTAGGCCATTAGAAGAGCTATTGACTTGTAATAAACTGCTGGTCTCCGTTGATGTGCCTTCCATGGAGAGATCTGGCTCAATCTGCACCGGCTTTGTTGAACTAGGTTAAATTAAGGAAGGCAAACTTTTAGCACTGTATAATAGACTGGAAGTAAAATGGGGAAACACGAGATCCACACCCTCATAAGCCAGGTCCTCCTCTCTACCTGGCCACCCAACCTCTTGTGTCTCCCAGTGCTGGGAGATAACAACCTCACAAGAGAATAAGAGGCCCAATCAGCCCCCTCTGCCCCCCTGGGAGTATTATGTGCATTGAAAATGCCACACAAAAATTCAGCCAATCCCTCCATCATATTCAAGTGGTGAACTGGCCCTGGCTTCTGCTGACACGTGTTCAGGAGCATGATTTCATGCAGTTACTGCTCGTCAGTGCCTCCACCAGGGGGCAGGCATTAGAAAATAAAAGGTGCCAAAGTCGAAGTCGCTAAGTGCCAGCTATTTGATAACCAGCTATTTGGAAAGTCTTGATAAGGAAGACGCTGCCCACAGGCCTAACATCTAGCAGGAACTCAATGAATTTGGATGGAGAAGGAGGGAGGGAAGGATGCACCAATCTTAAAAAGGATTTATATTATCTGAGATGTAAATTACCCACTCTCGTGCTCCTATGTAATATTAACAATGGAGAGATGCTTATAAACTACCTCGGATGGTATGGTTAGTATGCACACATCATCCTCAAAGGAAAGATAAGAAAAAAATCCAAGATCAATCCCTAGAATTTACTAGAAAAACAGTGTAGGCTCTACTAATGGTGGGTGAGGAGTATCACCTTTACTGTGCAGGTAATATCCTACGGCACAAAAGTACATTTGGGAGACTTCATATTTTCCCTGTAAATTATCCAAAGAACTTCATTAATCAAAAAGTAAGAGAAAATTTTCTTTATAGGTTATTTAATCACTACTCTCAATGAATATTTTATCTAAATTTAGGAGACACAGTAGCTTCATTATTTATAACCCAGTAGTCGTGTTTCAAAATCATTATTGCAATTACTTTTGCTTCTTTACATAATTAAAGCTCTAATATTCCATCTTGCCAAGAAAGTCATTGTTACCAAACTCAGACAAGATAATTGCTGGAATTTCAGGTGGTGCTTGAGGTGAAGCAGGGATCCTGGCAATCACCCTGGTCGGAGCTTACCAGGCTGAGGGAGTGTCACCACGACTCTCTGCACTGGGTGACCCAGAGGTGAAATCGGAGTCCAGGTCCTGAACCAGTGGTTGGGCGCTCAGGGTGCCGTTTTCTCGAATATAAAGGCCAGCTCTGGAGGGGTTTGCAAAAGTGGAGATGAAGGGGCCTAGGGACTGGAAGGCAGCCTGGCGCACCTGAAACCAGAGAACAGTGCGGTGGACGTGGCATCAGCCAGGTCTGACCCCAGGCTAAACAGATGGCTGATCACCAGACAATTCACTGTCCGCCAAATTATGTCTGAGCAGATTCGTTGCTTTCTTTTTTTTTTTTTTAATTTTATTTATTTATTTATTTTTTCCCCCAAAGCCCCAGTAGATAGTTGTATGTCATAGCTGCACATCCTTCTAGCTGCTGTATGTGGGACACGGCCTCAGCACGGCCAGAGAAGCAGTGCGTCGGTGCGCACCCAGGATCCGAACCTGGGCTGCCAGCAGCGGAGAGCGCGCACTTAACCGCTAAGCCACGGGGCCAGCCCAGATTCATTGCTTTCTACAGCATTCCCTAAATTCCAAAGAAACTATTTTTCAACAGAAAATAAGGAAAAATTTAGCACCATCATGTAGTTTTTATTCTTCCAGGATATTAATTCCACATCGAGTAATTCCAGACTTTATAAAGCACTGAACAGACCCTATTAATCATTACAGGCATGTTTACGATAGTAACAGAAAGGTAACAATTCATAGTTACAGTTTTTTCCTTCTCAATTCTCATTTCTATGATATTCATTCACTACAAATGTTAAGGTATGTGCCACTTTCTCAGTATGCACCAAAAAGCTTTTGAGACTTTAGGTGCCCTAATCCTCACTAGGTCTAAATATGCCAACCAGTTACTGAAAAGACAAAATACATAGTCACAAGCCCAGAAGCCAAGACGAGGCCTGTGAGCTTGCTGTGGCTGGAGGCCAGCGCTGCCAGCGCCCGCACTTACCCATCGACAGGGGTCACTGATAAGTCTGATGAAGAGAGGCGAGAGCTTGCTTCTGCGGGCCTCGGGGGACGTGCTGTAGGACACCGCCGTGAAGCACTCCGCACAGGCTTTTCGCATCCCCCACACGCTATCTGAGCAGAGCTCAAAAAACTTGGGGATCTACCAAAGCAAATAAAATGGTGCTACTCAAACTCTGAGGTTACCTCAGAGTTACCCTGAGGAAGGGCAGAACCTGTTTTAATGATGTAGTTAAGGCATATCCATAAATTAAAGACAAAGAAAAAGGAAATCATTTGAATCATTTGATTCCATAAAAGGAATCATTTGAAACAAACAAAAATTATCATAAGTAGAATAAAGCAACATTTCCTTTACCTCTTAATTCTAGGAAATGACTTGGTTAAATTTAACAAGATAATAGAGAAAACCCCCAAAAAGGCAGAATGACTGATATTCATTATGTGAATTACAGAGAAAAACTGTGAATGACTTTGAAACTTAGCGGATATCCCAAATAGCTCACCCATCCAGGTATCATGGATACAAAAAGGTAACTTTTTAAATATGTACATTTAAGGTATTTTCTTTTACTCTTTTTAGACAAGATTAAAATCACCAACACTAACTGTGGATAACCATGTGCTTCACTTAGTTGGGAAAGTAACTGCCACTTAGTAGATGCCCCAAATATTAGTTCCCCTCTCTTTCCTCTCTTGGAAGGAAGAAACGTTAATGAAGTTGTAAATCTGTAGGGTCTTTGACTAGGCTACTTCAGTGCTAGAAGTTAAACTGCTAAAATCTGATAGTAATGCACATACTTCCTGTCCACAGAAACGCAAACTGTGTCCAGTGGAATGCGACTGACTATCACCCTGGATACTGACCAGTTCTGAACTCATCTGTAAGTTCCCTCCAGTACTCCTTGGTCAGACCACGAATGAGTGGCACTTTGAGCTCTCCATTAAGCCGGTTGTTAGAGCTGACTGGTTCCCTCATTAATAAATGAGTTAAATAAAATCTTTGACACATGTCCATCTTATATCTGTATGAAAGTCATGATCATATCCTCTTTTAAAATTTATCCTTTGAAAATAAGGCTTTGTTTTTAATATCCTAATGTAAAATAATCAGCCAAAATGCTCCACAAATGGGAATATATGATCATGGAAATATCCACCTACAGAAAGGTTAGTATGTTGGTCACTGCTGTTCTTCATTCAGATACATTAAGTAGATAATATCACTCACTGTATATTCAAAGCTACAGCCCACTAAAAATTATTTTTGGGTTCAAAGTATGTTGACATGGCTTATACTTTAAATAAAATAAAATGAGCTTCTGAACTTCAATTTAAAAATCAATTTAAAGGTTACACTTTTTCAGGTTATATTCCAACCATACAGGTAGTATATCCTGTCAAATAGAAGTGTCAGGCGCTTCTTCAGCATAGTTCTCCAGGTGCCAGGTCTGGGGTACGCACTAGAGAAACAAGGATGAGCATGACAGGGTGAAGGTCCCCCGTCAGCAAAACGATAATGAGGTGTGGGAAGGACAAACAAGCACTCTGAACAAACGATGTTGGAATGCTGAGAAGGGAGAGATTAATTCTTTCTGACGTGGTGGGTAGGTGAGTCTAGACAAGGAAAGAACTTGACAGAGGCCTATGCACATTCAAGCTGGGTGTGAAGTGTGAATAGGGTCCCACCACGTAGGGAAGACACTGGAAGGAGAGGAGCAGTGATGAGCACAGGCATGAAGGTGTGAAAGAGTAGATAGCCTCAAGGGAGCTGAAGAGTCACCCGGTTGCCTAGTGAAGTGGTTCTCTACCCTGCTGTACGTCAGAAGCACGAGGGAATTCATAACAAATGAATTCATAAAAAGACCCTTGGGCCCTACCTCCTTCTGCCCAACCATGATTCAGATGCATGGCCAAAGGTGAGACCTACCCAGGCCAGGGCAGTGTTTGGACCTGAGGAAGGTGACTGGAGATGAGGCAGGAACGTACTTGTGAAGGGACCTGAAAGGCCAACAAGGGTCTGGATTTTAGCTTATAAACCAAGACAAAATCCCACTGGTTTGAAAGCCAGAAGTGAGGTGGTGGAGCAGTGTTCCAGAGAGAGCAGTCAAGAAGGGAGAAAGAAAGCGGCTTAGACAGTGAGGACAGAACGAGGGAAGTGACCAGTGAGGAAGCAACAGCAAAAGTCCACAGCAAAGAGGACTGGGGCTGCTTTCGCTCCGTTCCACAGACCAGCTGCCTAATGCTTACGAGAAATGTTAGCTTCAGAAGTCAAGAAATTTGCAATTGATGAATGCAAAACTGAGCTGCCATTCCAAAGTAACAGACTCATAAATACAAAACTTTACAGTTGATTTTAAGAGTGCCCTAAGAAGCGCATCAGCAATTACAATTGGCAAAACTTCACATACCAAAAATTTCTCAGTGGCTTCTCGTCCAACGGCGTGACAAATATCACCAAAATTTGCAGCACATACCTTAAAAAGGCAAAAGGCATACCCATTATTCTAAGCTTTCTTTTTGTCTTAACAAATTGTGAAACTAACAAGCAGGAACCTCGAGAGCAATTACTCCTCTAGTCAGGCAGCTAACAAGCACTCACCAAGCCCGTTGCCCACACGGCACCACCCAGGTGCCTCCAATGCACTGGAAACAGAAGATTTACAACAGTGTACCAAACTCTAGGACTTTCTGGCTCCTAATTGATCTCAATACATAATGCATTTGTTAGCAACAGAGCAAAAGAAACCCTTAATATTCTCTGCATGGTAAATGATACCTATCTTCTCGAAGCCAATGCGTCATAAGGAGAGACCAGAAAGAAGACGGCCAGCTACACAGCAAGTGGAAGATGAGGCTGTTCAGGGAGGGGTGGCAAGGGCCTTCCAAAGGAAGAATTTGACAACCAAGTGATAAGCAACTAAAAGGGAAGGGGGGAGGCGGGGTTGGAGTTAGAATTTATAGCCAAGATAAGAGGGTTCTAGAGCGAATCACCCCAGATAATGAAAGACTTTGCACGTCTGAGCAACAGTATCTAACAACAAGCCAGCAAGGTCTCATAACTCGTCCTCCTGTGCCTGAGAGCAACAGGTTTACTCTCACAGAATCTCATCTCCAGGTATCTATACATTCCCTAATTGCAGTAAAAACTGGCAACATGGTTCAGATGGTTTCCTTACACAGTTTACACTGGCCACATTTTTCTTCCAGATCGTGTCTACTGAGGAAGTCCAGAAACTTTAAAGAAACCAATTTTGAATTTTTTAACTTTTTGAATTTTTTCGAGTTTTGAAACTATATGTTCCCACCTTCCGAACTTGAAAGAGTTTCCCATCACCACACAATTCACAGAATCGGGGAAGCAGCAGGCGTTCAACTGTGCTCTTGCTCAGCACTGAAGCCAGTCTGCAGATTATCTATGAATAATAAGAAAGTGAGAGTCACTTGAAATAGCAAAGCATATGTGTCGCACGTATCACTAACTAGATTCCAAAAGCTAATATACAAAATATTGCCAACATTCCCAAGAAGGAAAAATGGAGAACACTTTATTCTGAGTTTTGTCAAGTTATCTGATCAATAGAAGGCCAAATATTTCTCAAGTGTTACTCAGATAAGGAATTGTCTGAAGCTCGAGAGTTACCATGTGCCAGGTACCTACTGTGTGCCCAACAAATAAATGAATAATTTATGTGCATTAACTCATTTTGCCTTCCCAAAACCCCATGACATGGGTATTATTTGTCCTCATTTTTCCAGATGAGGAAACCAACACTCAAAGAGGTTAAGTAATGTGACCAAAACTAAGTAGTGGTGAGGTGGGACATATAGTAATAGCTGGAAAAGGTATAAAAAATGACTTGTAGGCACTGGAGAGTGATCAGATGCTGGTGGAAATGAAAGGAGAGCAGATCCTTGAGAGAAGGGAAACTCAGTGCGTAAAATGTACATTGCTGCTGCTTTTCTGCCCAGGGGCACCCCACATTCTGCATGGCTCTGCAGGATAGCTGGACCTCAAGCAAAAGCTACAGTTTTACTGGCTTGAGAAGTCAGAGAATGGAGATTGAGGTTGCCAGAGCAACTGGAAAGTGAGGGTAGAAATCCTAGGGAGGAAGGAGGGAGCTAAAAAAGAAAGAGCCCCCAAATCTGTGATTAAATCCTACTCTAACCCTTGGCTAAGCTTGGAACCACAGATGCACAAGGGAGATGGTAAGATCCATAGAGAAAAGCAACAGCTTGAAGGGAAGGAACTGAGTGCTTTCAGCTGCCGACTACTGTAGGCGAAAGAGCATCTCAACTGTTGGCTAAAACAGAGTCAGTACTCTTCAGAGGAAAACAACCAGATCCAGAGTTTCTACAAGGTTTCATCAAGAAGATACAATAAACAATAAAAAAAATTCATATACGTGAGAAGAAATAGGAAAATGTGATCCATATTCAAGAAAAATATCAGTCAGTAGAAACAAATCCACAGAAAGTCCAGACGTTAGAATCAGCAGACTTTAAAAGGACTTTACAGCAGCTGTTATAAATATGCTCAAGGACTAAAAGGAAAATCGGGTCATAATGAAGGAACAGACAGGAAATCTCACCAAAAAGTGGAAACTATAAAAAAGAACCAAGACTTCTGGTAGTAAAACAGTAGCTTGGTCAGACTTACCCTCTTACAGATAACAATTACAGAATCTGTAAGAAAACAACCATTTGAGAGCGCTGGAGAGCAACCAAAAGGCAGAAACTGGAGGGGAGGCTGTCCTTAGAAGATGGACAGCAGTCAGAGAGATTTGCAAGTAAAGCCCAAAATCTGTGTATATAATTTGCTGAGATCTTTGGTTGACTGCTAAACCAACACGTGTGGGGGAGATCTCAAGGGACCCAGCAGAAAAGCAGCAGCCAGAAACTAAACAACCTGAGCAGAGATTTCAGCTGCTGCTCACCACAAAAGAGACAGCTGGGAGCTGGAGATCAGACAAGATAACTGCCTGCTACATAAAAAAAATCACTTTATAGAAACAAAACAGAATCTAGAGTCTCTGCAGTGTATTATTTATACTGGCCGGTGTTGAATTAAAAATAACTATGTGTTCACAGGAAAAAGTGACCCATGATAAAGAAAAAAAGCAGTCAATGGAAATCAACACCACAATGATCCAAATGTCATAACTACCAGACAAGGACTTTAAAGGAGCTGTTATAAATCTATTCAAGGATTGAAAGGAAAACACATGCATAAAGAAGAACATACAGGAAATCTCTATATCACAGAGATAGAGAAACCATTAAAAAGGCCAAATAAAGCAGGTGTATAGAGATAAAAAGCACAATAACTGAAATAAAAAATTTAATGGAGAGGCTTAACAGCAGATTGAAGATGACAAAAAGAGTCACTGAACTTAAAGATAGATCAATAAAAATTATCAAATCTGAACATGAGAGAGAAAAATGACCAAAAATAAAAAAAAAAACAGAACCTCAAAGACCTGTAGGACATTATCAAGCATCTAACTTTGCGTAATCTAAGTCCCAGACTGAAAGGAGAAAGAGAAACGGCACAGAAAAAAGCACTTGAAAGAACAATAGCCAAAAATTTCCCAAATTAGGTGCAGGGCATCAACACACAAATCCAAGGAGTTCAATAAACACAAAGCAGGATAAGCACTCACTCTGCAAAGATAAAGAGAAAAGTCTCAAGAGCAGCCAGAGAAAAAAGAATACTTTATATATGGGAGTATAATCTGAAAGACAGCTGACTTTGCAGAAGACAGCAGAATGAAATCTTTAAAGTGTTGCAAGAACAAACAAAAACAAACCTGTCAACCCACAGTTCTATAGCCAGTACAACTATCATTCAAAAACGAAGGCAAAATAAAGACATTTTCAGATCAAAACTGAGAGATTTCACTATCAGCCAACCAAACTTAAAAAAGTACTGAAGGAAGTTTTTCAGACTGAAGGAAAATGATACCAGATGGAAACTCAGATTCAGGAAAGGAAGGAAGAGCACCAAAAACAGTCAAAATGTGGGTATAAAAGGCTATATGTTTTTTCCCTTCTCTTCATTTCTTCATATCATTGTTTAAATCAAAAATTATAATACAATATCATCAGGTTCACAATGTAATATATATGTCATAACATATACGAAAACACAACAGCACAAAGGAGGAGAGGGAGTGAGTGGAACTACATTGCTGCAAGGTGCTATATTTTTTGAAAATCCTCAATAGAAAAATTAAAATGCAGTACTACAAAAACACTCAATTAGCCCAAAAGAAGGCAGGAAAGAACTAACAGAGGAACAAAAACAGATGAGACAAATGGAAAACAAGAAACAAAATGGCAGCATTTAATCCAAATACAATCAATAATTACATTAAACATAAATGGACTAAACATTCCAATTAAAAGGCAGGAACCGCCAGACTAGATATAAAAGCAAAACCCAACTCGACGCTAAGGAAAGCAAGAACACTTTACATGTAAAGACATACAAGGTGAGAGTAAAAGCACATCAACAAATACACTCTGACAGACAGAAAGCACAGGCATGCTGGAGTGGGACAGCAACATCACAGTAGACTATCAGCTACACACTGCTCTCAGAGACAATGTCATTTCTCAACAAAAGAGTCAATACGGCACAAAGATATACACATTAATGTGTGGCTTTAAATGCTAAAAATGGAAAAGAAAGTAGGCTCAAAAGTATTAAGTTTCTTCCTTTGGAAGCTAGAAAAATACAAGCAAATTGAACTCAAGTAAGAAGTAAGGAAATAATCAACAGTAGAAATCAATGAAAAAGAAAACAAGCAATAAAGAAATCGATAAAGCCAAAAATTGGTTCTTTGGAAATATTAATAAAACTGATAAAAGACTACAAAGATAGCAAGACTGATCAGGAAAGGAAAGAAAGGAGACAACACACAAATTACCAACATCATAAATGACAGGGGTAACACTACAGATTTTTTTTGTGTGTGTGTGAGGAAGACCAGCCCTGAGCTAACATCCAATGCCAATCCTCCTCTTGTTGCTGAGGAAGACCGGCCCTGGGCTAAAATCCATGCCCATCTTCCTCCACCTTATATGGGACACCACCATAGCATGGCTTAACAAGCAGTGCATCGGTGCGCACCCGGGATCCGAACCGGCAAAGCCCGGGCCGCCGCAGCAGAGCACACACACCTAACCACCTGTGCCACCGGGCCGGCCCACACTACAGACCTTACAGGCATTAAAGGGATAAAGGAATATTGTAAACAAATATATCCCAATAAATTTAACAACTTAGATGAAATTAATAAATTCCCTTAAATATACAACTTAATGACACAGATGAAATAACAAACCTGAACAGCCCCATATCTGAATTGAATCTGTTATCAAAAACCATCTCACAAAGAAAAGCCTAGGACCAGTGGTTTTACTGGTGAATTCTAACAAATATTTAAGAGAAAAATAACAACAATCTTAAACAAAATCTTTCAGAAAATAGAAGAGCAGGGAATATTTCCCAACTCAATTTTTGAGGCCAGCATAACCCTGATTCTAAAACCTGACAAAAATGTAATAGGAAAAAAAAAAACTGCCTACAACAGTCCTCTTGAATATAGAAGTGAAAATCCCCAACAAAATGTTAGCAAATAACGGAGAAGGGAAGACTCTTCACAGTAGAATGTCAACTAGAATCATCAATGGACGCTAATACTAGTGGGTGAAAGTTTGGCTAAAAGCATCCTTACATAGTTTCAAAGTAACTCCCCTTATTATTTCCAGAGGGGAAAGTAGTACCTAGTATCAGCAGACACCAGCTAAGTCAACAGAGTTAACATCACCAAGATGAGGACAAGCGCAAGTCTTGGGCCTCGGACCGTGGCACGTGAGAACACATTACTCCCGTGATGCCCTGCCAGAAATGCAGAGCCTGAATCTAACCATGAGGAAACATCAGACAAATGCCAAGTGGGAGACATTCTACCAAAGAATTGTCCTATACTCTTCCCACGTTAATGTCACGAAATTCAAAGAAAGACTCAAGATGGGTTCCAGACTAAAGGAGACCAAAGAGATGTGATGCTTCAGCGCAGTGTGTGACCCTGACAAATGACAACATTTGAATGTCAACTGCGGATAAGATATTAGCACCATATCAGTGCTACACTTCTTGATTTTGATCAGTGTATTATGGTTGTTTAAGAGAGAATTTCCTTGTTTTTTAGGAAATAGACACTGAAGTATTTAGGAGTAAAGGGGCACAATGTCTCCAATTTACTCTCAAATGGCTCAGAAAAATACATTTACATATGTGTACGTATATATCTATGTGTGCGTGTGTAAAAAGAGAGAGAATATGATAAAAAAAGGAACTAAATATACACTACCAGAGAAGCTGGATACAGGTACACAGGAGTTCGTTCCTGCAACTTTTCTACAAGTTTGAAATTAAAACAAAACGAAAAATTACCCAAAAAAATTTTTAAAGAACTCTCCCACTCCCCCGAAAAAAAGAAAAAGAAAAGGAAGAAGGAAGGAAGGAAGGAAAGAAGGGAGGGAGGGAGGGAGGGAGGACTTTCCTGTGTCTGCAGGCGGCTCTTCCCACTGCACAGCACTGCCTTTTTACAGCAGAAAAGGGCCCTGGGTTAGCAGTGCACCCACTATTCTATTTGGAATCTGCACACAGCAGACAAGAGGGGAAAGAAAACCAATTGGAGTGGGGGAAGGGGAAACAATCCCCACAACATGAATGAGGAAAAGTCTTCCGAATTTAGAGGACACGTATTTCTGATCTGATGCTGGGCAGAGCTGTACAGTGACAGCCACAATAAATGAGGACGCGAGGCCTCCGTATCCAGGGCAACAGGCAGCTAAAGATTAGTGCCTGGTATCTCCATCCACCCCTGTCCATCCGCCACACCCACATGACCTTATTACTACCCATATAAAATAAATTCAAAATCATTAAAAGTCAGCACACCAAGCGACTAGAATGACATTCCCGTGGCCCTGGGAACCACTTGTATGGAATGACGATCTTCACTTAGTTGCTTGGAGCCCACTATTCTTTATAGCACATAACCACAACATTCTTTTTAAATAAATGCACAAATAAAAATGAGCTTAAAAATAGGAATGACAACAAAAAATGAGGAAGCCTTAATGTGAAAACGTGTTGGGAGAGAAAAATAGGCTTCTGACAATTAGTTATAATCTCAGAATGCTAATGGCCTTCCTGCAAGCAAGAGGAATTATAATTGGTCTCTGGTGGCCTGTTCATGCTGTCTAGATATAATTACAGGGTACAGCACTTCCAGTTTATACCGATCCATTCATTCAACAACCAACATTTATGTAGCACTGATCCTGGGCCTGGCACTGTGCTGGGTGCCATGGTGGAAGGACAGCTGTGTTTAAGCAGCTCACCATTTTGAGGGAGAAATAAACAAACAAACCAAGTTCACAATTCAATTGCTAAATGATAGCAGACAGATATGAACCAAGCCTTCTGATGCAGGAAGGAAGGAGTCACTAATATTGCCTGGCATATCTAGAAAGACTTCACAAAACAAAATGCATATATATGTGAGAAACCAGGATGTAGGAAACCAACATGTAATTTGTACTGCATAACTCAATTTTAAAATGCCCAGGACATGTCTAGTTGGCTATCTTTGATTTTCCTAATCATGTATGCGCTAGGCTTGCTAGCATCAGAATCAACTGATTGTAACTTCCAATGAGAATGAAAAGTCTAATGAATAGATGCACCTTTTGTGTATGGAGGCAGGCGGTTTCCTCAGAGAGAGAAGCAATTCCTTCCAAACAAAACGGCACTGTTCTGAGAGTGTGTGTGTTTATGTACATACAGATGTAGCAATATTCACACCATATGGCTGCAAAGAGAGCCCCAAAACACCAGGGCATCGGAACAGCACAATTTGCTTCTTTTCTCACCTATGACCTCCTCACAAGTACACATCGATGCCTGTAGTGTTTGGGGTGTCACTCACAGACCAGCTAAATGAGAACCCTGCCCTTCTTGGGGAGCTCTGCCAATCACACGTGTGGCCTCCTCCTTGAAAAACGAAATCCACTCTCTATGCATATTGTCATTTCCTAGCTAAAAAGAAAACAGCGCCCTCTAGGCTCCACAACTCTGGGTGCCCAAGGAGTGAGTCCCCTCCAAGACCCCTAGGAAAGAGGACAGAACAGCTTCTGAATCTGACCAAAGCACACGTGGGCCAGACAAGGCACCCCAAATCCTGTTTCCATCAGGCGTCCCTGGGCAGAGAAGTGGAGCTCCTCCAGGAAGACCCCAACACACAGATGTGCCTTGGCCTGGGCAGGGTTCAAGACCACTTTTCTTCTTTGCAGCCACATTTGAAAGCTTATACACTCGAGTAATGATATCAGTAACTCACTTTGAATGAAAAACACAACTGATGTGAACTAATTTGTTCTGCAAGTGATGTGTGGAGATAGCTTTTTGAAGTCTGCTTATATTTTCCAAATATTTTCACTAAAAAAAAAAAAAAAGAAGAAGAATATTGCTGACAAGAATGGAGTGGCTGGAAACAAAACAAAATAAAAATCATGCAAAAATGCCTTTAGCATTATTTTTCATGGTATTATCAGTCTTTAGGGATAAGATATTTGGTTGTCAGCCGTAACCTTGGAAACTCGCCTAACCAACTTTAAAACAGAAACGAAGATCTAGTTGGCAAAGTTCACTGCTCAGCTGCCAAATACCCCAACTAAATGATATTATCCAGGTTCACTTTGCACAATAAATTTGATTTATTATAGCGAAACTTGAAATTTATAAAAGAACCCTGGAGAATTTGAATTTTAATAATCAATTATTCTTCAGCCTGATTCATCTTATAAACATATGGAATATGCAAAAAATTAAATTAGTTTAAAAAGCCAGACCTTTAACTCATATTTGAAGAAAGCTTTTACATAAATGAAGAATAATTGCCAAATGTTCTGATGCTGTAATACAATCTTTTAGCTCCATGGTGTATAACATTTCCACACTTTGAAAAAGAAAATTCCTGTCTCTAACGTCATTCTTTTCCAAACAACAAAACAACTATCTTCTATATCTTACTGTACTCATAATTAAGGCTTATGATTTTTTAAACCTCTATGCATGATTTCTCCTGAAATGGTAGAATAATCCTGGAGCCATTACTTCTAGAACACAAATGGAAACAGCCATGTTGTGTAGCACCACCTGCACGGGTCAGTGAGAGTAGGCAGCAGCTCCGGAAAACAAGGTGGCCTTGGGTGACCTTCCCTTGAGCCACGGAGGAGGAGGCCTGAGGACAAGATGGGGAGTCTTGGTCTAAGGGCCACACGTGAAAGCCAGCACTGGCCCATCAACAGCCAGTTTGCGAACAAGGGTTCTAGAAGCAGGTAGAAAGTCCTTGATTGTACAATCACTGCACAATGGGGATAGAGTCTTACAAACCCAAGCATACCACAAAACTGACTACTAACAGTAGAAGAAATTTAGGATTTATACTATCCCTTTAATTGTATACCTTAACTGACATGAGAGCAAACACTTTCACACAGCATTTCCCAAACTGCTGCAAACATTTTGGCCACATCTGCATCCTTGAGAGTGATGCTCTCATATTTGCTGACATACCTGCCTTAGTCTTGTCCTAATCTATAAAAAAGACACACGTGTCTATAAGACTTTTCTTAAATTGTCCAAGTACCACCTAAAATCATCTCCCAGACCACACTGGGTTCCTTACTTTGGGAAACGAGGTCCATGATCCACGCAGGGTCAAGGATTTACCCATAAATCTCGGCATCTTGTTCAGCAGAAGTCTAAGCCAGCTGTGCAGCTCTGCCCGGACCACTCTGATTTCCCAAGCTCTGCCTTCGTAAAACAGTTGGTGATATGAGGATAATCACTTCCAAAACATCCACAGATCTGAACTGTGAACTTTCTCTGACCGAAGTCAAATCACCAGCCACCCTGCTTATGGGGACCGTGCTGGCCAATATCGAGCGCATGTGATACTTCAAGTCATGCACACGCCAAGCTATGAGGCAGTCCACCCAGGTGTGGGGCTCTCTTTCCCAGAGAGACTTACATTCACGGCTTCTGCTTTATATTCATCATCACTGTCTGGGGCAGACAGCGCCAGCAGGATTGGACACACTTTGTTTTCAATATCATGCTGGAAAATTAGATCTTGTTCCAGAAGAATCAAGAGCACTTCCTGACTTGATTTTCTAACCTAGAAGAGGAAAAAAGGCAAAAGGTAAAATACAGAACCAAGGTGCTCTCAGGACAAAGACCAAACTCCCTCAGCGGAGTGCTAGGCCATCCCCTGCCTCCCTGCCCCGCGGTGCACATGGACCACACAGGTCTCCTGGCCCTCGCACCTCCTTCCTGAGGCCCTAGAACATGCAGCTCCCTTTGCCTGACTGACTCCTACCATGCCTCTGCTCTCAGGCCAAGCATCCCTTTCCTCTGAGCCTGACTAGGTCAGGTCCCCCATCTGTACGCTAATAGTGCCCTGCACTCTTCCTGCACAACTCATATCCCAGATTTCTACACATACATACATACACACACACACACATTTTTTTTCTGTATGATTACACATTGCCATCTGTCTCTCCCGCTGCAGAGGGTGAACCTGGAGGGTGGGTCCTGTGTCTTGACTTGTCCTTTGTCCTCCAATGCACCCTCAGAACCTGGCCACAACTGGACAACACAGAGTGCATTTCCCTCCACAGGCACAGGGATGGGAAAACACCATCCTCCGACCTCTCTGTAAAACCCTGGCGCACCACACCTGGTCGTGAACTACGTATGCTGCGACGACGGAAGGCAGCAGGGCCTGGGCCCAGAGGAGAGCCCGCACAAGGAGGGACACAGAAAACAAAGCCTCCTCAGTCCAAAGAGGAAGGTGGAGGAGTTGTGTGTTCTTTGCAGTCTACGTGGGGTGAGCAAGCACTGGAACTCAGAGGGGTCCTCAGAAGCTGGAGAGAGAACATCTCTGGGGAAATGAAGCACAGGAAATTCCAATTTATAGAGCAAGTAATGAAATACGCAGCTCATCACAGGGATGGTAAGGCAAGAAAATCGCAAGGGGACCCAGAAGTAAGTAGATAGAGTCGCGGGTGATTAGCGGATAGCAGGTGATCAAAAAGGGCTAGCCCATGAGACTGAAGCCATGAAGGCAACGCAACATTAAAGATTCTGAACAGGTGACAGGATGAAAACAGTATTTTAGAAAGATCATTCCAGCAGCAGTGTTCCGAGTAAATTGGAGGTGATGAAAGACTGAGGGCAGAAAAGTCAGCAAAATAGCTATTGCAACAATCCCGGTGGAGGGGGCGAGGACAGACAAGGCGATGCCCTGGCAGAGGTGACAGGCCTCGGTGCCCAACTACAGGCAGCAAAAGCCACCAGTAACTCTGGGGTATCACTTATTGAGTGTCTGGCACATGCCAGGAGCAGAGAACATGAGAGGGGACCATAGACCAGAAGAGCCAGACCCACCGGCCGCCTCACTCCACCACACAATCCCAGGTGATGGCCGAGGATGCCAGAAGGCAGCAGCGCTGGGAGGACACTCCCAGCAGGGAGGGGAAGTCCTGAGCGGATGTGGAGCCAGATGTTTAAGGCAGTTAGAAACCTGCCCAGGGTGGCAGGTGAAGGGTGGCCCCCAAAAGTTAGGTCCACGTCAAATCCTTGGAATCTTTGAATGTGGCCTTCTTTGGAAAAAGGGTCTTTGCAGATGTGATTAAGTTAAGGATCTTGAGAGCATCCAGGATTATCAGGGTGCGCCCTAAATGCAATCACAAGTATCCTCATAAGAGAAAGGCAAGAGGAGAAGACAGAAGAGGAGAGAAGTCATGTGAAGATGGAGGCAGAGACTGGAGTGATGCGGCCACAAGCCAAGGAAGGCAGCACCCACCAGCAGCTGCAAGAGGCAAAGAACGGATTCTAGTCTGGGCCCTCTAGAGCAAGCGCAATCCCGACAATCTCTTAATTTTGGACTTCTGGGCTCCAGAACTGTGAGAATAAATTTCTGTTGTTTTAAGCCACCCAGTTTCTGGTACTTTGTTATGGCAGCCCCAGGACACTAATACACTAAGTAATGTTCATGTACCAGCGTGCTCAAAGGCACAGAGAAGTGAATCCTGGAGACGAGCGAGAAGACCTGGACGGCAGCCTGGGCAGAGTGGCGGGGTGGGAGGCTCAAGGGCCAGCTGAGGTCGGAGGGGGAAAAGTTTTCAGTGCCCCACTAAGACCTCTGGTGGTTATCCCGGTGCACTGGGGAGCCCCAAGGGTTCAAAAGCAGAGTGACAAGATGAGACGCGGCTTCAGTAAGGGTGACAGTTTAGAAACCTCAAGTGGTTCTGAAAGCTGAGAGCAGGCGAGGGGCTCCCAGGCAGAGAAGCTTCCGGCTTTGACCCAGCCATGGATTTGGGGGGCGGAGGACAGAAAGGAGAGGGCAGGCTTGAGAGACACCGTGGAAGAGAGCTGAGTGCATCACTGAAGATGGTCACAGAACATCCAAGATGACTCTGGGGTCTGTGCCTCAGGCCATCAGTAACCAGAAGGAGAAAATGGAAGGAGAAGCAAGACTGAGGGTGGAGAAGAGGTGTGGGTGCTGGAGTGTCTGAGCTCCACGCGATGCGCTGGATCTCTAGGCAGAGCCGTCCAGTGGGCTGTGAAGATGGAGGTCAGCAACTCACGGACTGCAGAGACCCGGGTGAGAGCCAGCAGTCTGGTGTTCGCATGCACGTGGATCCCCTGGACCCATGCAAGCAGATGAGACCATCAAGGGAATCCTGGCACTGTGAGAAAAAGACCAGAAAATACCCTGCAGAGCGAGGACAAGGGCTAGTGACGGAGACCAGGAAAGACACAGGCACGAAGGAAGGGAAGAGGCAGGGAGGACATGTAAGAACTCAACAGGTGACACTGCAGTGGCTTGAACACTGCGCCCCCATCTGCATTCTGCAATTACTAGCTGGGCCACCTTGGGCAAGGGACTCAGCCTCTCTGAGCCTCTGTTTCTTCACCTGTAAAGTGGACAATAGTAGTACCTCTCTCACAGGGTGGCCATGGGGATGAAATGACCTAATCTACATAAAGGGCTTAGATAGTGTCTGGGGCACAGTATGCCCCCAATGAATGCTGGCTGTTATTGGTACTGAAGTCATATTATTAGAAGCCAAGGGAAGGAAGGTTCAGACGATCCCAGTCCAGACCTGCCTGATGATGAGCTCTAGGAGGAACCGAGAACACGTCCCGGTCACCTTTCATCTCCATTGCCAAGGTAGAGCAACATTAGCCTAGTGGGCATCCAAGAACGGTTTCTTCAAAAACCCAAAAGTAGTTAACAGTGACATGGTGCAAATGGATCCAGCAAAGGAAAAGAAAGAAGAGAAGTCACCGGATAGATAAATAAGTTGTGGAAAAAATATAAATGCAATACCATAAAACAGTTAAAATGAATGACCAAGAGCTCTTCGGATCAATGTGGATAGATCTTAAAAACGGAGGAATAAAAGTGCGCGGCAGAAGGGAGAGCTCAGTCTGATACCATTTATGTGAGGTTTTAAAGCACCCAAAACAAGACTGTCTCTTCCTCAGGGCCACTTACATAGTGGTGTGACTACAAACCCCGGATGGGAAGGGACACACCAAGCGCAGGATGGTGGTTTCCGACAGAAGGGCAGGAAGGGAGAAAGAAGGGATGGAGGAGGGCACAGAGCAGTTTCAACCATATCTATAACCTATAAAGAAAAAATAAAAAGGTTTGAAGCAAAATGTAAACAATTGTTGAATATAAACAGTAGATATATGGGTGTTTGTTACACAAGCCTCTTGTGTGATTAAAATATTTCATGATATTTTAAAAATTGAAACTATCTTTGAAAAAACAAAAACGTTGGATTTCACAATGAGATTAGTTGAGTCCGTGGCAAGATCCTTGTCCCCTGGCTTCTGGGAGCATCAGCTGCAGTGAGCAGTGAGCCGATGCCTGGATGGGAGCCCATGCAGAGGTGGGGGCCGCAGAGGTTCCTCTTTCTAGAAGCTCGGCCAGAGGGAAAGGACTAGCGCTGCGCTCACGGTCAAGGCCAGGGAACAGAAAGAGGCGGGAGACGTAGGCGTGATTATAATTGAGAGAGAAAAGCCAACGAGAGAGACTGGAAAAATAAGCAAAAACATAAGAAGACGGGACCAAAGAAGAAAATGAAGATCTCAAACTTGAAAAGGCGGTGGGACATCGCTCCCCTGAGACAGAAGGCAAATAGCTCAGGACCGCTGAAGAAACGTGGCCACATTACCGAAAGGGGGGTTTACAGCCGATTCAGTTCTAAAAATCTTTACTAAAAATCTACCAGGTACCAGACTGTGTGCTAGGTCACAAAGATAAATAAAATAAGACCCAGCTCCTACAGTCAGGGGCTCAGAGTCTAGAATGGGAGAGAAACTACTGGTCACAATATCCAGTAGAGTCTAGGCAACCCCAAACACACAATGATAAGCCTCATGAAACGGGACCCAACACCCTGTGCTCCTTCTTCAGCTCAGCCACTCCCCAACACACACAACCACACTTCTCTGTACCTCAAGCTCCTCACCTCTAAAACAAGGATGAATCAACAAACGTGCCCATCCTTCCCAGGGTGGTTAGGAAGAGGAAACAAAATAATCCGTGCTAATCCTGGAGCAGGGTATATCACATAGTGAGAGTTCAAGAAATGGTAGCTGGTAGCAGTGGCAGTAGTCATAGTAACAATATTAATACCATGCCCAATTTTGTGAATCGCATACCTCACATGAGTCACGGCAGGTTCAGTGGCCATGAAAAGTACCTGATGATGAACAGAGAAAGACAAGCTGCCCAGAGATACAGATGCTGGGTGGGACCTAGCACACCCATTCCTACATGCAAAAAAATCTGCATCTTTACCGAATTAAGAATCTTAACTCATTGGGGACCTTCGGGCACTCCCAGCGCCCCACACTGTGGATATCTGGAAGGGTCGGCATCTGTTCAAGTGAGGCAGAGACCGATGGGAGTAAGAGAGAAGGGGCATTTGGAAGGAGCAAGGAGGTTAGCATCAGCAGAATGAAAGGAACTGGGCAGATGCCTATGGCGTCATGGTGGGATGGGGACGGGTAGCCCACCAAGGAGTCTGGGATGTGCCTGAGGGTAATAAAGAGTCGGAAGAATGTTCAGTAAGATACGACTTCATCATATTTCTGTGTCTAAAGATGACAGGATTGGAGAAGAGGGAGTGTACTCAACGGGTTATGTATTTATTATGGAAACAAAGAAGCCATGGCATGGTCTAACTGGATGCAGGAGGTGAGAGAAGGAAGGATTTCGATGGTTCCAGGTTGTGGCTCTGGGGAACTGAACAAAGCAGATAGTGGCTCCATTCATTGAGATGGGGGATGAAGACTGAAGGCCTCTATTTTCTCTGTGAAGTAAAAGGCAAGGTCACCTGCTTGGCACAAGGCAGGGTGAGGTGAAGAGGCTTGATGAAGTGGCAAAGGTCTAAGAGAGCTGCCAAGGGTAATGTGAAAAGCAGCTGATGAGGGACAAGTAAAAGGATTGCCCAGCAGCACTGCAAGTCCAGCTGTGATTGGAATCCATAAATTTGCAATGGCACCAATCAATGCAAGATGGGACGCCCCCTGACACGCTCAGCAACCCGGGAGGAAGGAGGCCGGCGGGCTGGGGATGGGCGAGTAGAGCCAGTGCGGCAGAAGCACTGTCAAAAGGACAAAAAATGGAGGGTGAAGGTGGGGACAGGCCTGAAAGGGTGGGATGAGCGAGGGAGCAGCTGAGGAAGAACAGGAAGTAAAGGCGGGAAGACAATGGAAGTCGGGGAGCCAGAGTCATCCAAGGCAGGAAGGCTCAGGGTGGTGGGAGAGAAGAAAGGATGGCAAGTTGTGGCAAGAGACTGGAAGGCCACATTTGGGACTTCAGAGGTAAGCCAGCTCTGGAGACCCCAGGGAACAAGGAGTGACCGCAGGGGTGGGGGGCAGTGGGAGAGGCTGTTGAAGTGCATACGCAGCACGCACTGACAGCAGGGTGGGCCACGGACATAACTCTTCAGCAAACACAGGCTGAGTGTCAGGTACCAGGCTAGAGCCTGGGGTCAACACCGCAGTTCCTGCCTCTCCCCTTCCGGAATCAAATATACAGCAATGATATATGACAAAGGTTAGGGAAATGTCAACCCCCCGACCCAGTATAATTTCATTTTCAAGAATGTATCCAAAGGAAAAAGAAAAGCCAATAGAAGAATATAACTACATCCTTTATGATGCTCACTGCATCTACAGTACAAAAAACTGAGAAAAATCTAAACATTCAAAAAATTTAAAAATGTGAAGATCAAGAAGATGCACAATGTGTATGACACACAGATGAGCTTACTGGGGTAGAAAATCTGTCCTACGCATCTCTTTATGGCCAGCACGAAGCACTATGCATGGCTCATAACGGGCACTCAGAAACTGTCTAAATAAATGAATAAATGGAAGAAACTGCGTCACATTATGATTAGACCTATGTGGAAAAAAATGTAAGCACCTAGAGAAGAAAATGCAAAAGTAATCAAAATACTGATGTTAGCAAAGTGGAAACAGGATAACCGTTTAACGGTTAAAAGTGAGTATTTGCTCTTTTAAAAATGCTTGGATCAAAGGAGAAATACAAGGCAAAATTGTAGAATTTCTTGAAAATAATAATGAAAACTTGGCATATCATTAAAAATTACAAATACATTTAGCCTTTGTGGAAATCTATCCCCAAAATAAACTGACACAAATAAAAATGATGCAAGGCTATTTGTTGCACAAATTTTTAAGTGACAAAAGAGTAGAAATAACTCAAATGTCTATCAGTAAACTCTGCCACATCTGCCCGGTGGAGTAGTACACTGCCAGGAAAAGGAATGAGGAAGCTTTCCCTAGACCGCTATGGACTGATCTTCAGGATACCCCAGCCATGGGCAAGGCAAGGGGCAGGGCCTCAGGTACAGTGTGCCATCTTCCACCTGAGAAAGGGACAAGGCAGTGCAGAATACATGGACATACGCATATCTGCTTAGAGTTATTTGTCTGTGTGTATTTTTTAAAGGTAAAAATAAACTAAAACCTAATAAAAATGGTTATCTATAGAGAAGGGAGAGAACAGGTCAGGGGAAAAGGGAGGGAAGTCAGATTTCTCTGAATGTACTTTGTTTTACAGTTTTGATTTTACAATCACGTAAAAAACATTTTAAATAATTATAAGTCTAAATTAAATCACAATGTAAAAACTGAAGCAATTCTTAAAAATAAAAAAATAAATGAAAACAAATGAGCCTGTGTATCAAGTTGGCAGCTTAACCACAAAGAGAAGGGTTAATGCGAGTGACTTTAGATCACAGTAATATTAATAGGACTACGCATCTCTAGTGGGAGATAGCCTAAAAACAAAAGAACTGCAAAGAAATCTTAAACTATATTCAGTAATCCTACCTACTGTTAATAATAATACCGGTATTTTATTTTGGATCTACACATACACACACACACACACACACACACCCTAATGCCATTAAGAAGCAAGATTTGTACTGTGTTAAAAAAAAAAAAAAAAGATACAAATACAAAAATCAAACAAGTAAAAAGCCTAAATTTGAGGTGGAAATATCAATATAAACTCATGAGGAATTTTTATTTTTTTAAGAAAATAAATTGTTCTGCCAGTAGAAGCAATGACCAATCTGATAGCAATGAGCACCCCAGGACCCACATTCTGGTTTCGTATTATCATCTCACTCATAAATGAACCAAGGCTCCTTGGAGACGTTTCCAGGTAGAGGTGAGCTGTCAGAGTCTACTGGGTTACAGCAAGAAGACTCAGGAGCCAACTTGAAGGCAGGACAATTTGATCATCAAAAAGAATAATGACTGGGGGCCGGCCCGGTGGTGCAAGCAGTTAAGTGCGCGCGCTCCGCTGCGGCGGATCGGGGTTCACTGGTTTGGATCCCAGGGGCCTACCGATGCACTGCTGGTAGAGCCATGCTGTGGCGGTGTCCCATATAAAGTAGAAGAAGATGGGCATGGATGTTAGCTCAGGGCCAATCTTCCTCAGCAAAAAGAGGAGGATTGGCATCAGACGAGAGCTCAGTGCTGATCTTCCTCACAAAAAAAAAAAAATGACTACAATGGATTAAAACATATCTAATATGTTAAAATTCAGGAGTTCATACTAATACCCAAACAAATTTTAAAAATCTAATTCGTAACCTTTGTAGATTATTAGGACACCAACTAATTATTATAGAAACTGGTAAATAAAGAGAAAAAATAAAGAATTTATCCTGTCTTCCCTAAACAAACAGGTTTTCCAGGGTTATCAAACAGCTGAGGGGGAAGTTCTTTATAGGAGAATTCTGGCTATTAAATTAAGAAGGAATGATGGAATTAGAGCATCATACTTTTGCAACCTCTAATGAAATCCTGGATCTAGGCAACAATCGCCAATGGTTGCCCATAGGCTGATGGGGAACCCTGCAACCAACAGATAAGGCTGACAAAACCTGAATCCAGTGACCACACTGCTTTAGTGTTTCATGATTTGATGCAGTAGGAAAACACAGCCACACCTAAAAAGTATTCTCACTATACTACAAAAATCAGAGTCTGACCGAGCCTCTAGACTTAACCACCAGTTACAGAAAATACTGGGAATGCAGGAACATCTCAAACAACCCTATGAGGATGCAATCAGGCAGATCCCAAATGTGGGAAATCCTATAGGACTAATGACCTAGTTTGCTCAACAAATAGATAGCAGGGGAAGGAGAACTGTTATAGATTAAAGGAGATTTAAAAGACACATCAACCAAATGCAATCTGTGGACCTTGTGTGTGTTCTGATATAAACAGACTAACCGTAAAAAAACAGACTTAGGAGAAAACTAGGAAAATTCGAACAAGGACTAGATATCAGATGATATAAAGGAACTACTGATAATTTTTATATTTGTGATAACGGTATTGTCATTGTGTCTATATTTCTTATAGAGCAATACTAAAGGATTTACAGTTGAAATGATATGGTGTCTGGGAAATGCTTTTATCTGGGCTGGATTTATCTGGGTAAGAAAAATGAGAAAAGACTGGTCAAATGTTAATGATAGTTGAAGCTGGGTGAAGAGTACGTGGGCATTCATTGTAATATTCTCTCTACTGCTATGTGGGTTTGAATTTTTCCATAATAAAACGTTTAAAAAAAAAGAGAAATATCCCCTGATAATAAGAATGAGTGCTGTCTATCTTCCTACATGATTAGAGGAACTGGCACAAATAGACCTTTTGTTCTTGAATCACTTAACTCTAAGAAGCTGTTTTCTGAATGATGAATATCGGCTAAAATAAGACTAAAGAGAATATGCTACAGAGATCTTAAGGTTGCAATTTTTCACACCTGATTGTTTGGGTCTGTGAGGTACCTCACTACAATGGGGATGAGATATTCGGAGAACACCAGTGGAAAACTGGATCTGTTTTCCTGTAAAAAAAGCGCAACAGGAGGAATCTGTTCCATCAGCTCAGTCCGCACTGTGGGCTCTGCAGCAGCAACAACGAAAAGAGAATTATATAAGAACAAGCCAAGCATCTTATACAGTATAGACTGATAGTTTCTAGCTCTTCTTACTAAAATATTTCATCAAGAAAATTAGACAAATGCAGTTTAAAAATCATTTCCCATTTAGAGTATTTATGCTACAGACAGGCTTAAAAAGCTAATAAGCCGTAAGGCAATATAAAAACATAAAAAGAAGAGAGAACGACAACTCTATTACAACAAGCCGTATATAAATCGAGGAGGGAGCAAGAAGTCTGCATGCTGGGCCAGCATCCAAAAACCATTACAACTAATGGCATAGATGCCAGACCTATGGGTTGTGCCTCTTTAAATTCCAGCCAGAATGTATACATTATAAATAATTCTTTCATAAATGCACTCCCCCACAATCCACGCATCCCAATTATTTCTAAGGCAAAGCATTAAACAAAAGAGCAATGCTAGCTCCAATATACCACATTAAATTTAACACAAATATATAATTGCTTCAGCACGGTAAATGGTGATTCATTTACCAAGAGAATCCACTTAAGGACTCAAAACATCCACTTGGGACCTTTTAAAAGCACTGTGTCATATTCATATGAATATTTTAAACTAATATGGGAGCTATACAGAAGGCTTATTTATCTATTTTCAGTTAAAATGATCAAAATCTAAAGCAAGCCTAAGATTTCCAAAACTTTCTGAAGCTGTTCACCAGTCATTATAAATGTAGGGTTGGGGGTACGCAGAGCAGCTGTCAGTACTGGCAACCCCACTAGTCACTTATGTTCCTCATCTTTACTGTGGGGGGATACAGATGGGGAGGGACAATGTCTTAGGGTCTACCATACGGTAGTGTGTTTTTCTTCCAGGATAGCAATCAAGGAGAGGTAGAAAGAGAAAGAAAAATCAAGATTAGCCTACAAAGATCATAGGTGAGACAAACTAATGACTGGGATTGTTCTAATCCAAAGGACTTCTTTTGATGTGGTATTTCTTAGCAACCAATAGTCTGGCAAAATTCATGAAATACAAGAGGCCTAACTGCCAAGGCAAATAGCATTCATAGCCATTGTTATTCTAATTTCTAAAAATAAGGATAATATGATGCCTAATAAGACGCCCATTCTTCATGACAAAATCCATTCATGGTTGTATATTGCTTAAAATTTACTGATTAATAAACAGGTTTTTCTAATTAGCTATCATTGGTTATGTACAATTTCTTGGAAATGCACAAGTGAAAAATATAAGTGTACAAACCTGCATCTTCTGACAATCTGACCACAATCTCCATTACCGTTAAGAAATCTTCTTCATTGTTACTGAAGTCCCGGAAGATATCGAGCAGCCCTCTGGCAATAATCTGACTGTGGAGACAGAAATGATCCATACGGTTACATGGACACCACTGCCTGCCAGTGCACTGATTCCCGGTGTCACGCGAAGAGCAGGTCACATAATCAGGGAGCAAAGGAAAGTCAGTGACTCTGGTCCAGAGGGAGGAGACTGTCAAGGAACATCCAAAGATGATCATTCCAATGTGAGTCAACATCCTACAGGAATGGGGCCCATATCCTCCAGTCTGGCAGTCATTGGTGGTCGAAACCTTTTTCTCCTTTTCTGACTGATTCTTCAGAGCTAGATAGATTTGGAAGAGAGGGCCCATGACAGCAGGAAAGAATTAAGTGACCAATAAATGCAGAAGGAAAAGACCCAAGAGGCACCAATGGCCATCACAATCGCGAATGGCCTCTACCCACTAGGGGTCAGCAGCATCCCCCTGGCTGCCCCCCCACCCCATGATATGAGAACCAAAAATGTCTCCAGACATTGCCAAACATCCACTGGGGGCAAAATCACCTCCAGCTGAGAACCACGACACTAGAGGATGCTGAGCAAAAGGTGTAAGGGAACTTTCTGTACTATCTTTACAACTCATCTGTAAATCTAAAATTATTTCAAAATAAAGTTTAAAGACAAAAACAAAACACAAACAAAAAGCCACCATGAGGTAACGCTACACCCACTAGAAGAACTAAAATTATAATAAGAATATCTAGTGCTGGCCAAGATATGGAGCAACGGGAACCAAGAGGCGTTATTGGTGGGAAAGCAAAACAGCACAGTGATTTAGAAAACAATTTGGCAGTTTCTCAAAAAGTTAAATATTCACTTATCATTTGACCCAGCAATTCCCTCTTAGGTATTTATCCAAATGAAATGAAAACGTATGTCCACACAGAGACTTGTACACAAATGTTCATATTAGCCTTATTCATAATAGCCATAAAATGGAAAAATCCCAATGTTCGTCAACTAGGGAATTCATACACAAAACACAGAATATCCATACAATGGAATACTATTCAGCAACAAAAAGGAATGAACTGGTAACAATAGGGACAAATTTCAAATGCAGTTCACTAAGTAAAAGAAGCCAGACAGAAAAGACTACATACCACATGATTCCATTTATACGAAATTCTAAAAAAGGCAAAACCTTAGCATCACAAATTGGTGGTTGCCTGGGCCAGCAGTGGTGAGGGAGGGAGGCATGGACTGCAAAGGGGCAAACAGGGACATGAGGGGGTGATGGGAATGTTCAAACTTGGTTCTGGTCATGGCTGCACGGCTGTATACATTCACCCAAACTCATCTCACCGGATGCTTTCAGTGGGTGAATTTTATTGCATGAAAGATATGCCTCAATAAAGCTGTTTTAAACAAAGGCAGTGATGAGGGGAAAAGTCAGTGTGATGAGCAGTGGCTTACGGTGGCCTGGAGGCCTCAGTGGTACTTTGGCACCAACACTTTGGAAAACCTGGCTCCTTTAGGTTGAAATGACCTGGAGAGGTCATAGTGGATGAGCAGAGTCCAGAAGCATCAGCCTCAGTACTTCTCACTGCCAGCTATACTAATAAAATGAAAGAAAAGAGAACAAACATGCACACCTCGGAAGAATGTCACGAAGATTAAACGAGACCATGGGAAGCTCAGAGCATGGTACCTGGCACATGGCAAGCCCTTTAGCATGTCAGCCATCAGTATTACAATATAAGAAAGAATTGCAATAAAAATGTCTATTAAAAGAGGGAAGCTCAAATAAATTATGATAATATCTATACATTGGCAAGCAAGGTGAAGAATTGCACATATAGTATGAGCCCATTTCTCAACACAAATTATGTTTATACAAATATGTGCAATACATGTACACATAAACACACTCATATATACATATACTCATTTAGGGAAAAGTCTGGAAGGATATACTCTGAACTGATCACAGTCATTGCCTAAGATTGTAGTGGAGGAGAAAGAAACTCGCACTATTTAACTCCTGAAATTGCTAAGTATGTGAAAGAGCATGCATTGTTTTTGCGAATTTTTTAAAATATAAAGAAAGAGTATGGCTCCATTTTACATGGCAATGTTCCCTGGAAATGTAACCATGGAAGTAACCCTTCCTGTCTTTGTCCCTTCTTTCCCTCAACCACTCATGCAGTTACAATCATGAGTTTAGCCCAACTAGCTCTAGACTCAGGGCAGGAAGCTTGGAGATGAGCAAGTTCCAGGCCCTGTCCTGAAGGAGCTCAGTCGAAGCCCGTGTGTAGGCAAGAAAACCCATGATGACGAACAGTGACGAGATTCTTAAGACAGAGAAGAAGAACATGGAGGACTAAGCAGGGGAGATGAACAGGGGTCAGGCAGAGAGACGAGGAGAGGTGAGGACACAGGACCCAGATGTCAGAACAATCAGACAAGGACTTTAAAATAAGTATGACCAATATGCTACAGGTCTATTGGAAGAGTTAGACACATTTGGACAGTTAAGGAATACAGGAACTCTGCATTTTCTGCTCAATTATCCTATACACTTAGAAGTCCTCACAAAAATAAAGTCTATTAATTAAAGAAAAAAATGCAAGTGAAATAAAGACTTTTTCAGACAAACAAAATCTGTGAGAACTCAGTGACAGCAGTCTTGTACTAACAAGAATTGTTAAAGGAAGTTCTTGAGACAAAAGAATACCCGATGGAAAGGGGCATTTTATAAAAAGAAATGAAAAGCACAAAATGATAAAAAAAAAAATTTATGTGCAAACATAAAAAATATTTTTCTCATTTTAGTTGCCTTAAAAGATAGTTGACTATCTAAAGCCACGTAGTAACAAGGTATTGTAGGGTTTATAACGTGCAGAAGTAAAAAGTAGGAAAAGAGCACAGCAGATGGGTGGAGGAAGTAGATGCATCGCTGTAAGACTCTCGTGCTGTTATCTGGCACCATATGCAGAGTGGTATAATTTTATTTGAACATATGTTATGATAAGTTAAAGAAGTATATTATAATCCCTAGAACAACCAATAAAAATATTTTAAAATGTTTAATAAGCCAATAGTGGAGATAAATTGGAATTATAAAAAAACATTTAATTTTTCTTGAAAAGAGGAAAATAGGAAGAAGACTTGAGACAAATAGAAAACAAATAGCAAGATGGTAGATTGAAACCAAAGCATATCAACAATAACATCAAATTTAATGATCTAAACATTCATATTAAAAGGCAGAGATTGTTAAATTAGATAAAAAAGCAACTATGGCCTTCTACAATAACCACACTTTAAATATAAGACATAAATAGGTTAAAAATAAAAGTATGGACAGGGGCTGGCCCCATGGCCTAGTGGTTAAGTTCAGCGCACTCCACTTCAGTGGCCTGGGTTCGGTTCCCAGGCGCAGACCTACACCACTCACCGGTGGCCATGCTGTGGCGGCCACTCACATACAAAATAGAGGAAGACTGGCACAGATGTTAGCTCAGGGTGAATCTTCCTCAAGCAAAAAGAAGATGACTGGCAACAGATGTTAGCTCAGGGAGAATCGTCCTCAGGCAAAAAAAAAAAAAGTACGGACAGAAATATACTATACAAACACTAATCAAAAGAAAGCTGGAGTGCATATATTAATATCAGATATAGTAAGCTTCAGAAAAAGGAATATTACTAGGGATAAAGAGGGACATTACACAGTGATAGAGAGATCAATTTATTCACGAAAAAAGAACAATACTAAATGTATATGCACTCAAGAACAGGGGTTCAAAACAGACAAAATAAAAAGTTAGAATTAAAAGAAAAGTAGATAAATATATAATCGTAGTTGCAGACTCTAACATTCCTTTCTCAGCAATTGACAGAACAAGTAGACAGAAAACAAATAAGAATATAGACGACTTGAACAATGTTTTCAACCAACTTGCTCTGACTGACATTTATAAGATATTCTACCCAAAAACTTTGGGATGCACATTCTTTTCAAGTACACATGGAACGTTAACGAAGTAAGAACACATTCTGAGCCATAAAACAAATCTCAACAGATTTAAAAGAAGAAAAATAATACAACGTACATTGTCTGACCACAAAAGACTTAAACTAAGAATCAAATAACAGAAAGATAACTGGAAAATCCTCAAATATTTGGAAATTAAACAACACACTTCTAAATAACTCATTGGTCAAAGGAGAAATCATTATGGACATTAAAATTACTTTATACTGAAAGGTAATGAAAATATTACATATCAGAACTTGAGGATGCAGCTAACATAACACTTAAGTACTTATTACTTAATAGTAATCTTACAATGTAAAATGCAAATGTTATAAAAGAAAGGCCAAAAAAATAGAGTTGAGCATCACTCTCAAGAAATAAGAAACAGAACAGCAATGAAATTCCCCCCCCCAAAAAAACTCCAAGCAAGAAAATAATACCAATTAGAGCAAAAATTATTGAACTAGAAAATAAACATACAACAGAGAATATCAAAGCCAAAATTTGCTTCTTCAAAATAACTAATAATAATCCTCTGTTAAGAATTATCTAGGAAAAAAAAGAGAAAAGGCAACAATAACCAATAAGAGGACGGAAAATGGGGCCATACTACAGATTTCACAGACAATAAAAAGAAAATTACCATTTTCCAACACATAATGAAATAACAGATCTAAGCAATGATTATTTATGACCATCAAAATCATTAGAAGAAAGGCTGGTGAGGAATTTTATAATGAAAGAATCAAACACCTGCGCCCATAGCCCACAGCTCAATATTAACATCTCTAAAAGTAGGACAACTAGACATTGTTTCTTGATGTTTTGTAATAAGAAATACACAAAACAACATATGAAGTATTGTTTAAAAATAAAATTGAAGCAGAATCTAATCAAGTCTCCAAGTGTAATTTTCGGTTTACAGAAAATACGGAGAACAAAGGAACATGTTAAATTACACCATGAGAATAATGACCCCCAAATCCAAATGTGGAAAATTCTACAAGACTAATGACCCCTTCAACAAATAAATGATGCAAGGGGAAGATGAGAGGGAGCCTCAATTAGAGATTAAAAGAGATTTAAGATCAAAAGGAAAAAAAACTGTAAATAAAAAAAGACTTAAGAGATACATCTACCTAACGAAATGTGTGGACCTTACTTGGATCACCATTCAAAAAAACCAACCATAAAAAGGCATTTTTGAATGTCAGGTAAAATTGAACATTGATTGGTAGACTCAAAGTCAGGGAAAAAAGTAAACATAGATGGGCAGACTGGAAGTCAGGGAAAATTGAACATAGACTGGTAGACTGGAAGGCATTATTGTTAATTTTGTTGAGCGTGATAATGACACTGCAGTTAGAGTTAAGTCTTTAAGTGGATAAAATGATATAATGTCTCAGATTTCCTTTAAAATATACTAGCAAAAAAGCACAAAAATTCTACAGATAGGATGATCAAATTCTATTGGGACATTAAAGAAAACCTAAATAAATGAAAAGATATACCATGTTTATGGATTGGAAGTCTAAATATTGTTAAGAGGGCAATTTTTTCCAAATTGACCTATAGATTCAATGCAAACCCAATCTAAATCCTAATAGGTGTTCTGTTTTATTAGAATCTGATAAGCTCATTTTGAAACTTACATGGAAATGCAAAGGACCAGGAATAACAAGTCACATCAAAGAAGAAAAACAAGATGGGAAGTCGTGCTCCATCAAATATCAAGACTTACTACAAATCTACAGCAATCAAGACAATGTGGTAATGGCTGAAGGGAGACAAACAGACCAGTGGAAGAGGAGACAATCCAGGTAAAGACTATCATAAACACACACTGGTTATAACAGAGGTGACACCCCAGAGCACTGAGGAAAGAACATATTTTTGATAAGTAGTATTATGACAATTAGGAAAATCAAACTGGACCCCACCTTTCACACAATGAATAAAAATTAATTTCAGACGGATTACAGATCTAAATGTAAAAGAAGAAAAGCTAAAGCCTTTAAAGCAATATAAAAGAATATGTTTATGATCTTGGGGTAAAGGAAGACTGTTTTTTTTTTTTTTTTTTTGTGAGAAAGATCAGCCCTGAGCTAACATCCGTTGCCAATCCTCCTCTTTTTGCTGAGGAAGACTGGCCCTGGGCTAACATCCATGCCCATCTTCCTCTACTTTATATGGGATGCCACCACAGCATGGCTTGACAAGCGGTGCATCGGTCCATGCCCAGGATCTGAAACTGCGAACCCCGGGCCGTCGAAGCAGAGTGCGCACACTTAAGCACTATGCCGCCGGGACAGCCCCCAAGGAAGACATTTTAAAGAAGCTTCAAAATGCACTAAGTATAAAGGAAAATGTCAATAAATTTAACTACAGGAAACTGAATAGCTCTGGTCACCAAAAGAACACCAAAAAGAGAGCTAAAACACAAGCCACAGAATGAAAAAAGATGTTACCATTCTTAACTGACAAAGGTTTGAAATCTAGAATATACAAAGAACTCCTACAAACCAATAAGAAAAAAACAGTCAATCCCTCTTCCCCCTACCCTCCAACAAAAGATTTAAACAGGCACTTGACAAAAAAGAAATACAGATGTCCAACAAACACGTGAAAAGTTGTTCGAACTCATAAATAAGGAAAACATAAATTAAAATCACAAAGTGATAGCATTATGTATACTACCACACTAGCAGACTGGCTAAAATTTTAAAATCTTAGCAATTGGCAGATAAAATCTAGGGCAAAGATGGAGTGTAAACTGATGCAACCACTTTGGAAAATGGGAACTATCTACTAAAGCAGAAGATAGCACACCCCATCACACAGCAATTCTCCCTGGACATATGCCCCACAGAGATGCATACCCAGATACATACACAAGATTGTTCACAGCAAAACTGCTCATAACAGTGAGAAAACCTGACTACTCTAACAATAGTAGATGGATAAATGTCAGTATATTCAAACAAGAGAATACTGTTACAAAAGGAACAAACTCAAAACTGTACACAAAACCACGGAGTAACATATCCTATATGACTTCATATATTTCAAGTGCAGAAACAATAAAATTAAATCATATTATTTGGAGGTAGATACTTAGGTGCTAAAACTAGAAAGAAAATTAAGGATGTGATTAACATAAAAATCAGGCTGGTGGTCACGTCTTACTGGGGAGGAAGTGGTGATCAGGAATGGTGGGGAGGACAGACTTCCGGGACAACCTGAGTAATGGCTACACGGGCATTTGCTTCATAAAAATTCCTTAGACTTTACACGTGTGTTTTAGTCAATTATCAATACGTGTTATATTTCACAATAAAAGAAGTTTTAAAGAAAAGTGAAAAAAAGAGAGAGATTAAAGTAGAAAAACCACTGACAATCTCAATAGATGTAAAAGAAGCATTATATAAATAAAATTCAGACCTCACTGAGGATTTTTAAAAACTCTTAGTAAGTTTATTCTATAAAGTAAATGATCTGTACTCTTCAAAAATGTCAACAATATTATGGGAGGCAAAGAAAGGCTGAGAACTGTCAGAGATTAAAGGAGATATGAAACACCAAAATTAAATGCAATATATGACATTGGATTGGATTCTAGACCTAAAAAACAAACCAAAAAAACCCAATAAAAAAGACAATATTAGGATAATTGGCAAAAATTTGATTAAAATCTATATATTAGACAACAGTATTGTATCAAAGTTAAATTTCTTGATTTTGATAATTGTACTTGATTATATAAGTGAAGGGTAAATGTCCTTGTTCTTAGAAAAGTGCTCGCTGAAGTACAGTAGTGCCCCCATCCTCAGGGGGTACATTCCAACACCTCCAGTGGATGCTGAAACTTGGGGAGGCAAAGCCGCGGAGAAGGGGGACTACTGCTGTAGTTAGGAAACGCAACATGATGTCTACAACTTAGTCTCAAATGGTTCAAAGGAAAAAAAGTAAAAATAAAGATAGAATGATAAATCAAATGTGGAAAATGTTTAGGTAGCTACTAAAAATATAAAACAAGATAGGAAAGGAAGAAATAAAACTATCATTCTTCACAGACAACATCATTGTAGTATGTGGAAAACCCAAGAATCCACAGGAAAGTTATTAAAATTAATGAGTGAACTTAGTATATATACACACACAAAGAGAGAGAAATTTAAGAAAATCTTAAAAAATGGAAGGATTAGAACACTAAATATTGTAAATATGTTAATTCTTTACAAATTGATTTATAGATGCAACGCAATTCTAATGAAAATCCCAGCAGGTTTTTTTCCTACAAATTGATGAACTGATGCTAAAATGCATTTGGAAATGCAAAGGGCCAAGTACAATCTTGAAGAACAAAGTGGGAGGACTTACTCTACCTGATACCAAGACTTTGATGATAAAGTTGCAATAATGAAGACAGTGTGGGCTTGGTGCAATGATAGATAAAAAGATCAATGGAGCAGACTACAAAGTCCAGAAGTGAACACTTGATTTAATATAAAGGTGGCAATAAGAGCATAGATAAAAGAGAGTATTTTCAGTCAATGGCAGTGGGTCAGTTGGGTATCACATGGAAGGAAATGAAACCTGACTCCTCCCTCACATTATACACAAATAAAAAAAGCAATTCCAGGTGGATCATAGATCCAAAGCTGAAAGGTAAAACAATAAAACTTCAAGAAGACAACATAAAAAAATATCTTGGTGGCCTTGGGGGAGGCAAACATTTCTTATACACGACATGAAAAGCTCTAACCATAAAAGAAAAAGTTGAGAAATCGTGCACTACATTTAAATTAAGAACCGCTCATCACAAGACACTGTTCAGAGTACCATCACTTCCCTATCTGTAAAATTGGGATAATAATTGGACTCAGTAGCAATTGCTGTGAGCCTCCTATGATTTAATAGATGTAAAAGCATAGAATATAATTTTTAAAAAGTAGGAATGAATGGAAGGTAAGGAAAGAGACTCAGTGAGTATCATCCAGTCTTCACAGAAGAATGATGTACTTAAGGGAAGATATGAGGCAAGGCCGCAGGTAGAGAAGTCCAGAGGACTGTTCAGAAGGAGAGACGTGCGAGGGTTTGTAGGTGGAAGGCAAAGGGGTGTCTAACAGGGGAGAAGGAAGATATAGAAGGCAGAGGCATATCTGATGGGGGAAGGGAGACAGGAGGGAGATACCTCCCCCTCGGAGACAGGAGGGAAGAATGCTCTCGGATTCAGCTTTAGGCGGATCGTAAATCGAAAGAGATGCCTTAGTTTCTGCTTCCTTAACGAAATAAGAGTCAAGGTCAGCTGCCGAAAGTAAGAGGCATAGTCTGAGCCTGGGGTAGAATCCTGCCAGCACCATAAGGAGTGACAACAGAATATGGCAGGACAGCTGCCCGCAAGTCCCCGAAGCACGGTGCAGGAAGAAGCAAAATGGGTGAGCAATCCTCCAACTGATGCTTCTCTACACGATGCATTTACTCTTCTGAGTACTGCATATGGGAAAGAAACCCAGCTAGCAATCCTAATCATTTAAACACCATTAAATTTCATCACCATTTCCTTCCTGGCTTACCAGGTGGTCAGTAAACCAGTAACAAGAATAGTGGAAAAGCCTAATAAAATGGTGCCATTCAGACAGAGTCCTAGCATCCTGGAGACAGCCCGCATTCCACCTCATCCATGAGTCCCTCAGAGCTGTCACAGAGAAGTGGCCTCCACTGTCAGCTTAAACCAGACACAACAGAGGGCTGTAAATGTGCGAAGGACTGGTTGAGCTTACCGGTTGAAGATGTTATCGCTGAAAGCATACTTTTCCAGGCGAGTGAGTGGAGGCAGGTGATCCTGGCCTGGAATGTCCAAGAAGGCCGTTACCCTCATGCTGTCACAATCTGGACCATAGTCTTCAAATCCATCTAAAGGGAAGAACCACACTCATAAGTGTGTATCAACTGTGACAAGTCACACTTGGGCAAAGACGTGGCCTTGTAGCATGCTTTCTTTCACAGCCCTTTCCATCTGAAGCCTCTGAGTATTGCAAACTTGACAATTCATCTAAAATGAAGTGGGCAGGTTTATAATCTAAGAGAAGAGTGATAAGACCAGAGTCATAAAGAAAAGCTAAATGCCCTTCCTTTAGTGCTGCTGGTCTGATGCATAAGCCACCTCTAATCAACATGGATAGGGACCACTCCTCTATCGGGGAACTCAGAAACAAGGGAACAAAGAAGCTCAGCCCTATGAAAAATGGCCGGGGAGTTTATGCAAACAGGTTTAACATGGTCAAAAGAAAAACAAGTTTGACCCTATAAGCAAGAGTCTGACAGAAAGTACCCCCCATGTCTTGTCTTGTCCTAAACGTACTCTTCATACAGCTTCATCCACTCCATGACATCAGTTCCCATCAACCCACAGCCCTGGCCTGGCAACACCCAACCAGGCCCCTCCACGTGGATGTCTAAGGGGTTCCTCCAACTCACAATGGCCAAAGATGAGCCAGTTGTCAAACTGCCTGACTCTTCCTCCTTAAGCCTGCTCTTCCCTGCATCCCAAACTGAGGGCAGGCACCCTCCTCCCTCCAAAGCACTGGGGTGACTGAGCTCATGGGTTCTGGAGCCAAATAGCCCTGGAATGGAATGAATCTCCCAACTACTACTTACTAGCTGTGTGACCAGAGTAAGTGACTTAACCTGTCTACACTTCCATGTTCTCATGTGTAGGGTGGATATAAAACCCCACACTTGCCCCATCAGGATGCTGGAAAAAGTGAGTTCACGCATGTCAAGACCTGTGGGACCTGGCCCCTTATGGTCTGGCCAATCTTGACCCTGGCCACCACCCTTCATGCACCCACACTTCAGGGGTGTAAACGCCTCCCTACCACCCCTTGCACTGAAACAACTGGGCGAGAAACACCACTGGTGCAAAAAAGCAGAGGGTCCCGACCTGGCAGATAGGAAAACCACGGTTAATTTTGGCAGTAATTGATTAGAATTTAAAATAAGACATGACAAATTTGTGTCTAAGTGCTTACTTTTCTTTGAAAATCCAACCACATTTTTCCTCCACTAATTCTTTTAGGCTAGTAATTAGAGCTTATTAAAAATTTACACTATAACAACAGTTAGAGAATTTTAATAAAGAATTATACATTTGTAGAAAAAAATATGTGTGACACAATCAAAATGTCATTTCGCTGCAGGATCCCTGCCAGGGATGAGTACGTCCACACTGGGTTACAGCCAATCCCCTTGATCACAGGCAATTTGTATAAGCTATTCTCGGTGCATTTCAGGGCCCAGGAGAAACACGCAGCCTCCACCCCACAGATATTTACAGAGTGCTGTGGATCCAGGCTGGAGTGGACTTGAAAACATTGTCTAAAGCAGTGGTTCCTAAACTTTTGGGGTCACAGATAGCTCTGGAACCTGTTGATGTCCACAGACATACATACTCAAAACTTTTCATACAGGATCGGGGCTCCAAAAGATCCTCTGAGGCCCACCTGTGCACTTCATAGGTCAAGAACTGCAGTCTTAAAGTAGCAGAAAATACCCACGCACTCTTCAAAATACTCTGCTTACCAGAGAACTAAAGAACTTCGCAATTAGTTCCAGAAAGAATAATTTTTATTGGAGAATATTAATGATTCCACTACACTATTTAAAACTACACTAACTACACACAAGGAAATAAAAGCCATAAGTCATAAAATGTTGGATAATAACTAATCTTTATTGGTTACTTCCTATAAGCCGGGAACTGTGCTCAGAGCTTTCTGCATAGCAGTAGTTCATTAAATCCTGAGAACAACCATATTATTCCCCTGTTTCTGTTAAGGGAACTGAAGCTTAGAGAGGTTAAGCAAGTTGCCAAAGGTCACACAGCTAGAGAGTGGCAGAGTCAGAATTTGAACTCAGAGTCGGACTTCTGGCACTATGCTACACTGCCAGAGAGGAAACCCAAACTTAACTTCCAAAGAAATCCCTCCCACCTCCCTGTCTGGGCTTCGGGCACAGTGGCCTTCCCTTAGTTCTTCAAATGCACCAAAATCCTTCATCTCAATGGTTTCGTACATGCTGTCCCCACTGCCTGAGACGCTCCCACTTCTTACACCCCTACCCCTTACCCGCTGCCCCAGCTTGGGTCTGTGTCCAAAGAGCCCTCCCCTGACCCTTGGGAGAAGGCCAATCTCTGGTTATAGCTTCTCCTGGAGCTGTGGGCTCTTCTATCCTAACACTCCGCACAAAGGTGCTGGCACCAGGTTTTATGACTATTCACGTCTGTCCCTCAGCCGCTCTGCCAGCTCCATGAAAGTGCTATAACCCCAGCACCCAGTATAGCACCTGACAAGCAGTAGATGCTCAATAAAAAGTAGTGACACGAAGGAACGATACCACCAAAAGAAACTTAAATGAATGACAACAAATATCGATAAAAACGAATGTTACAATATAGAATCATAAAGAAGCAAGAAAGAACCTTGCAACATGCCTTGATAAATTTCCTCATCTTATAGAGAAATAGTAAATAGATGTGCCCCCAAAGCCAGTCGCAGAACTGCTTTCTTAGAACCTAAATATTTTCCATTCCAGCCCAGTGTTCTTTCAACAGATGTGCAGAAAAATCTTCTAAGATAAAGGCAGAAAGAACAACAAGGCCAGAGGGAAGGGTGATGGTCTCCAAGGCACGTGAAGGAAGGTGCAAGAGACTTCCATTTCCAGCCAAGATGGTAAAAGACTCTCATGGTTTACACAACTAGAAGACCAGAAAAAAATTAATGAAACAACAGTTTTCAGGCACTAGACAACAGGCAGCACAGGACTAGGATCCCTCAGAGAAGGGAGACAAACAAGGAGAGCCCTGAGATAGCAGCAGCTGACAACCTGGAGGGCCCCAGCTACAGAAAAGGAAGTGTGAGGAGAACAAGGTGGTGAGAGTCTGCAGGAGAGGGAGCCGCACAGGTCAGCAGAGCCCCCTGGAAGCTTTAGCTGAGTTCCGATCAGTGCACCCGCGAGAGAAAACTACCAAGGCTAGGAAGGAGCCATCAGAGGCGAGCCAGCAGGACCTTCCCCGGGCTCCCACGCAGCGAGGAGCAGCCTGTTCCCACCAGCCAGAGGAGAAAGACCCTGTAATGCACGGCACTGTCTTAGGGGTAGGGCTAAATCAGTCTAGACTAAAGCCTTCTCTAGGCACCCCCTACCAGGGCTTTAAATCAAGCCTCAATGGAATCCAGCCCAATCTAAGAAAGGTAACTACACATCATAACAAAACCCAACATTATTGGATTTATACAATTTGTACAGTAAAATCTAACAACTATCAACCCAAAATTCTTAATGTCTGGCATCCAATCAAATATTACCAAGCATGAAAAGAAGCCAAATAATATGACCGTAACCAGGAAAAATGAATAAACATAAAAAGTCCCAAAAATGTCAGAGATGATGGAATAGAAAGTGATCTTTAAACAGCAATTAAAAGAACGCTCCATATATTCCACAAAAACACAATGATGTTGAGAGAAATAGAAATATTAAAAAAGACCCAAATGGGGCCGGCCCGGTGGCATGGCAGTTAGGTTCACACGTTCCACTTCGGCGGCCCGGGGTTTGTAGGTTTGGATCCTGGGTGCGGACCTACTCACCGCTTAGCAAGCCACGCTGAGGCGGCGTCCCACACAGAACAGCTACAACTCTACAACTACGAGACACAACTGTGTGCTGGGGCTTCAGGGAGAAAAAAGAAAAAGAGGAAGATTGGCAACAGATGTTAGCACAGGGCCAATCTCCCTCAAAAAAAAAAAAGACCCAAATGTAAATTTAAGAGATGAAAAACAATAAATGAATCAAAAGATAAACCGAAAGCAATTAACAGATCAGACAACTGAAAAAAATCAGAGAACTCAAAGATATAACAATAGAAACTATCTAAAATGGAGCACAGAAAAAATGGAAAAAATAAAAGAATAAAGCACCAGTTATCTGGAGACAATATCAAGCACCATAACATATGTGTAATTGGAGTCCCAGAAGGAAAGAAGAGAAAAAAGAAGAGATGGAGAAAACATTAAAAATTTTAGAAAAATACTGGATGAAAAATTTTTTAATTTGATAAGAACTATAAGCCTGCAGATTCAGAAAACTCCACAAACCCCAAGCAGAATATACATAATGAAATATGACAGTAAGGGGCATCATAATCAATTGCTAAAAATCAGTGATAAAGAAAGCGGTCAGAGAAAAAAAGGCACATTCCATTAAAAAAACAAAGATTAACAGTAGACTTCACGTCAAAAACCACTCAGTGAAGAAGATGGAAAGATATCTTTAGAGTACTGAAAGAAAAGAAAACATTAACCAAGAATTCTTTGCTCAGAGAAATATCTTGCAAAATTTAAGGGGAAACATGGACTTTTTCAAACAAACAAAAACTGCAAGAATTCATCGCCAGTAGACACGAACTATGAGAAATGTTAAAGGAAGCTTCTCAAACAGAAGAAAAATGATACCAGATGGAAATCTGAAGCTCCTCAAATGAAAGAAGAGGGTCGGGAATGGTAAATATGTGGGTAAATACAAACAAGCATTTCCTTCTCATTTTATAATATCTATGTAAAAAATATCTGACTACTAAAGCAAAAATAAGGACAACACATTATTGAATTTATAGCATATGTAGAAATAAAATAGCAATAAGGCAAGAAAATAAAATAAAAGGCATACAGACTAGAAAGGAAAAGTAAAACTGTCTATTCACAAACATAACTGTCCATGCAGAAGATCCTAATGAAATTAAAAGGAAGACACCAGTACCACTGAGTGAGTTTTACAAGATTGCAGGATATAAGTAAATACACAAAAAGCAGTTGTATACTAGCAACACAAAATTTGATATCAAAACTTTAAAAATACCA